TATGACAAATGATTTAATGCTACCATGCATGTAGCTTATAGTCATTTTATAAGTTATTTAATTTAAAACATTGGAGAAATTGTTTCAAACGATATTAAGAGCTTTGAAAAGGCATAAAGCAGGATTGGTTCAAATAGACCAAAGACATTGGCAGATGCTGCTGAAGAGGGTTTAATTTCCCTTTAAAGCTGCTTTTCTTTCAGTAAATTATTCTTAAAGTTTAAATATTCTTTCTTGCTATCAATTTGCTCTGGTTCCTCAAACTCTATCCATTCTCTAAGTAGAAAACAATGTTATCCTGTTCCCTGCAACATTCTTATATTATTAAAACAGACTTCTTAATTTTCTGGAAGACACTTATATAGGATCGACCAACTAGCTGGTAATTATTGAGAATTTACTATCTTCTAAACATTATGCTTGTGAAGGGGTATTAAAACTAGCAGAGTTACAGACAGTACCACAAGACTTACTGAATTCTTATTGAAAAGACTGTGAATCTCTGAGTTCAGATTCAAGGCCATTGATTCCAAACATTTGAAGATAGCTTCCCTTCTGTGTCATTCTGGGTGTGCTTTTTTTTTAAATCTCCAGACCTGACTAGTAGTTGTTTCCAATTTTCGACATCATGTAGTTGCTAGACAAGACAGATTTCCATGAAAGTCATAATGGAAGAATGAGTCAAATACTGTAAGTGCTGAATCAGGTGAAAAAGACAAGTTTGTATGAGATCACAGTAAGGAATTATTACTGTTTGCTGTTGTGATCAGAAAAAGATGATTTAAGGTTAAATGACCTATATCTTTTGGTTTTTCTGAAAGCATAAGTGATTATTGTTGTTGTTGTTATTATTATTATTATTATGTCATACAAAAATCCCAGTAAGAGTTAACATTTATTTTATTCTTTTTAATGATTTTACATTTTTTTAATTTCCAACTTTTATTGCTCAGATTCTTTTTTTATTGATTTTTTAAATATATAACAGCAGAATGCATTAAAATTCATATTACACATATAGAGCACATTTTTTCATATCTCTGATTGTATATAAAGTATATTCACACCAATTCGTGTCTTCATACATGACTTTGGATAATGATGTTCATCACATTCCACCATCATTTCTAACCCCATGTCCTCCTTCCACCCCTCTGCCCTATCTAGGGTTTGTCTATTCCTCCTATGCTGCTCCTCCCTACCCTACTAGGAATCAGACTCCTTATATCAGAGAAAACATTCAGCATTTGTTTTTTGGGGATTGGATAACTTCACTTAGCATTATCTTCTCTAACTCCATCCATTTACCTGCAAATGCCATGATTTTATTCTCTTTTATTGCTGAGTAATATTCCATTGTGTATAAATGCCACATTTTTTAATCCATTTATCTACTGAAGGGCATCTGAGTTGGTTCCACAGTTTAGCTATTATGAATTGTGCTGCTAATAATTTTACATTTTTAATTAACAAAATTATATTTATTTATGGAATATAACATGACGTTTCAATATATGAATACATTGTGGAATAGCTACACCAAGCTAATTAATATACCCTTCATCTCACATTCTCATTATTTCTCACATTTTAAAAAAAAAATCTACTCTCAGAAATTTTCAAGTATACAATACACTACTATTAACTTTAGTAACCCTGTTTGTTGTACAATAGACCCTTTCCCTCCTAATGGGGAAAAAATATGTATATCATCCTTGATCACAGGCCAAGTTAACCTTGTCTGTATGGTTCCAATTTAATGTATGTGTTGCTTAAGCAGTAATTAAAATTCATAGAGTGCTTACTATGTGCCAAGCACTAACCAATGTGCTACATATTGTCCCTCAAATAACACTGTATACAATATAAAATTTTATAGATTGCTCAAGAATCTATATTTTGTCAGAAACCATATATGTGTATGTATAATTTCATATCATCTCCACAATCCCTTTTAATATGAATGTTATTTCTGTTTTACCCAATGAGACACCATGGCTTGGAGAGGTGTAGTAACCCACACAGTGGCAGAGCCAGGCTTCTGACCCCACTTTGCATGATGCCACCGTCCCAGTCTTGTCTTCTGTGCTAAATTGCTTCTCCTGATAATTGTCCTTCTTCTATGAACTCACTGAAGAACACTGGGTAACTAGTTCTTTCCAATCTTAGAGCTAAAACAAAAGGAACTAGGCATAAGCAGTATGAGAGAAAACCACAGGTGGTTCTACCTTTAGAGTCAGCCTGATGGCCATGAACTGAGCCAGTAGCCCAGGTCTTTGCCTCAGTTTTAAAAGGAAAATAACAGGCAGTCCAATGGACATCCATTTTTACATATAAATAAGGACTACTTCACTAGTAATCCTGTACGTTTATTAAAATTTAATAATTAATATAATTTAATACTTTTAGAACTTGAGCTGCTTTAAAATGAGGCAAAACCTTTGGGAATGATTGAGTATAAAGATAGTTCTAATTCTTGAAATTTGGGCAAAGGACTTTTCTTATAAATATTATCTTGAATAGTTGCTGATTTCCAATTTCTACTTGTCTTGACTTATGAATCTTTCTTTGTAATTACTGTTAGTGTTTACCTTTGTGTACCATTTTGTTCTTTTTAAACTGCTGGGTTGTAAACTCTTAACTGTTATTTCCACATGGTTTCTTTGTTTATTTATTTATTTATTTAAATTTTTTTAAAAGAATGTGATTTTTATTCTGAAAATAATGGCGAGCTTTTAACCAGGAAAGCATTCAGATTATATTTATGGGTTTTTTTTCCTACAATTTTTAAATTTTATTAATTACTAGTTATATGTGACAACAGAATGCAATTCAACTTATATTACACAAAAAGAGCACAATTTTTCATTGTCTCTGATGAACCCAAAGTAGAGTCACACCATTCATGTTTTCGTACACATATTTAGGGTAATGATGTCTGTCTCATTCCACTGTCTTTCCTTCCCCCATGTCCCCACCTTCCCCTCCCTCTCCTTTGCCCTATCTAAAATTCCTCTATTCCTCCCATGCTCCCTCCCAACCCCCTTTATGAATCTGCATCCTTATATCAGAGAAGACATTCGGCATTTGTTTTTTGGGATTGGCTAACTTCACTTAGCATTATATTCTCCAACTCCATCCATTTACCTGCAAATGCCATGATTTTATTCTCTTTTAACATATTAATATTCCATTGTGTATATATGCTAAATTTTCTTTATCCATTCATCCACTGAAGGGCATCTAGATTGGATTCACAATTTAGCTATTGTGAATTGTGCTGCCATAAACATTGATGTGGCTGTGTCCCTGTAGCATGCTGTTTTTAAGTCCTTTGGGCATAAACCAAGAAGTGGGATAGCTGGTCAAATGGTGGTGCCATTCCCAGTTTTCCATAGATTCTCCATGCTTCTTTCCAGATTGGTTGCACCAATTTGCAGTCCCACCAGCAGTGTAAGAGTGTGCCCTTTGCCCCACATCCTCACCAACACTTGTTGTTTGTATTCTTAATAGCTGCCATTCTGACAGGACAGGAGTGATTTGCATTTCTCTAATTTCTAGAGATGTTGAACTTTTTTTTTTTTTTTTTTACATATTTGTTGATTGATTGTTTATCATCTTCTGAGAAGTGTCTGTTCAATTTTTTGGCCCATTTATTGATTGGATTATTTGTGGGTTTTTTTTTTTTTTTTTTTTGGTGTTAAGATTTTGAGTTCTTTATATATCCTGGAGATTAGTGCTCTATCTGATGTGTGTGTATGCTACAAATTTGTTCCCATTCTGTAGGCTCTCTATTCACCTCACTGTTTCTTTTGCTGAAAAGAAGCTTTTGATTTTGAATCCATCCCATTTATTGATTCTTGATTTTAGTTCTTGTGCTATAAGAGTCTTATTAAGGAAGTAGGGGCCTAATCTGACATGATGGATATTTGGGCCTACTTTTTCCTCTATTAGGTGCAGGATGTCTGGTTTAATTCCTAGGTCCTTGATGCACTTTAAGTTTTGTGCATGGTGAGAGAGAGGGGTTTAATTTCATTTTATTACATACGGATTTCCAGTTTTTCCAGCACCATTTGTTGACGAGGCTATCTTTTCTCCAAAATATGTTTTTGGCACTTTTGTCTAATATTAGATAACTGTATTTATGTGGGTTTGTCTCTGTGTCCTTTATTCTGTACCACTCTATTTTGGTGCCAATATCATGCTGTTTTTATTACAATTGCTCTATAGTATAGTTTAAGGTCTGGTATAGTGATGCCACCTGCTTCACTCTTCTAGCTAAGGATTGCTTTAGCTATTCTGGGCCACATGGTCTATTTTTATCACTCAGGTCTCTTTGTTTTTACTGAAAATTAAGAAATACCAAGATAAAAAGAAGAATTCCTAAGTCCTAATGACTTCCAGGTCTTTATATAGCCCTAGAAATTTCAGATGAATATTTTATCATTTCAGAATAATGTGAGAGAATAGATATTATTTTCCTAATTAGAAGAGGAAACTGGGGCTCAAGAAAGTAAAGTGACTTGCTAAGTTCTTGGAGGTTATAAATGTTGAAAATGAAATTAAAACTCAAAGAATTCACTTTTTTTCAATTAGCTTCCACTGTCAACCCCAGAGATTAGTTTGCCATCTAATCTCACCTCCTGATGTATCTTCCTCTATTTATTTGACTGAATATAACTCTAATAATTATTTATCATATGAGTCAAACTTCTTCAGAGGTAACTTTAGAAAAACTTAATTTTATTAGTAGGATTGAATTTATTACTAAGCTGTCCAACTGATATGTGAATATCTTTTGTTATAAAGAGATTTGGGATGTTATGTTATTTCATTTTGTTTGGGACAATATGGAAACGTTTATATTTGGGAGACTGAAATGTATACTAAGTAAACTGCCATAGGTAAGATGGCTCTAAATATATACAGTGTATATAACATTTGAATAAAGACTAAGTAAAACAAACAAACACCCTCTAACCTAGGGATTTCTCTTGCAGGCATTCTGCAAAAACTCTGTGCTCTTGGAACACTTGGATGTCTCTTATTGTCTCCAGCTGTCAGATGATATTATTAAGACAATAGCCATTTACTGTGTTTGCCTCACATCTCTCAGCATTGCTGGCTGTCCACAGGTATGTGAAGTAGTCAGAGCTCAAACATGTCAAATGGAAGCACTCCAAAGAACCCAGGCAAGGCAGCATTAATGGGCTGGACTCATGGTAGGACTGGTTTTCTTTGCCATGTCTGGGGTATTCCTTACAATTTTTTTTCCTATCCCCAAACTGGAAATCGCTTTAGGAGTTTATGTACGTTAAAGCAGAATTTTCAAAAAGTTAAAAACATAATTCACATAAAAGCATAAACATGTATTAAAGATTTATTTAATTCATTAATAAGAGAACTAACAAAATAATAAAGACAGTGAAAACAGCATTAGAACAAACTTGGTATTTATAGGAATTGAAGAAAGAAAGATTGTTGGATTGATTGTCAGGTTAGATCAAAAAGTGGTTAATGGTTAACGAAACAATACAACCATAACCTTGAGGGTATAGTTTCACCAGATAGAAATAACTTGCATCTCTCTTCATTCAAAACATAGTGTTAACATCTAATGCTTCCTGAGTTTAACATGTAACTTCCCTGAGTTTGGGCTTTAATCAGTACTAATAGTATGTCAAACAAATGCACGGAAACCCTAGAGATTTCCTCAAGTGGGTCAGTATGACGTTGAAAAATCATACAATCATCTTTTGTCTTATTTTTGAGTTTCATCATTTTTCTTGCATCTGTGCAAAAGAAATACATATTCATTGTAAAAAAATTTGACTATATATAAAAGCTTACAGGAAAAAGTAAAAATCCATTGTCCACCATTATCTCAACATAACCATTGTTGGCAATTTATACTTATTTTTAATTTTTTTTTAGTTGTAGATAGACCAAATACCTTTATTTTATTTATTTTTATGTGGTGCCAGAGATTGAACCCAGTATCGCATGCATGCTAGGCAAACGCTCTACCACTGAGCCACAACCCCAGCCCTTATACTTATTTTTATAGATTTTTTTCTTTGTACAAAGAGGTAGAAACAGTTACAAACAGAAGGTTTGAATTTTGTCTTTTTTTTTTTTAAAGGATCAACTTATACTTTCTAAAACACATTAACCTACTTTCTTTCCTCTTAATATACTATGGTCATATCCCCATATCAAGAACTAGAAGTCTTGGATTCTGGATGAACATGGTAGATTGCAATATACAAAAATAATTTTGTTTTGAAACCCCAATACAGCTGCAGATGAAGAGTGAGGGCCCATGTAGATAATAAAAATAGGTCATGAAAAAGAGCAACAAAATTTTGAGAGCTTGAAAATAGATGGACAAATTTAGCAGACATGATGAGAGAGCTTTAATCCTAAGACAACAGTAAAGAAAGCTGGAGAAAAAAAAATCTGATTTACACAACAATCTTTTAACTTGGAGGCACTTTGTACCTCTGGAACTATGTTAAGAAGGGGTTAAAGTAAGAAAGACCGAGTTTAAAAATTCCTGAGAACACACAGTCTCTCAGATTTCCTCCTCTATAGCACACCTCTGGGAAGTTGTCCATCCTACCACAAACAGAAACCTAGAGATCCCTTGCCTTCCCCTCCCTTTCCTTCTCCTTCCACTGGGGATTGAACCTGGGGACACTCTAACATAAAGCTACATCCTCAGCCCTTTTTATTTTACTTTAACACAGGGTCTCATTAAGTTGCCCATGCTGGCCTTGAACTTGCCATCCTTCAGGCAAGATATTTCTTTATAGTGGGGGTGGGGTTACCCTGTGCATTGTGGGATGTTTAACAGCATCCTTGCCCTCTACTCACTAGGTCAGGAACACCCAACCAGGCTGGGGGATGCTTGCTTAGCTGTGAGCGGAGGGTACAAAAGTGAAAAGGAGGACGTAGTGACTGAATGCTGAGTGCAAGACACTCAGGCACTTTTCCCTGAGTGTATCCAGAAATTGGCTACTAGATCTTTTCCTCCAGGCAGACTTGAAGCTTCTTCTCTGCAGGCCCTGGCTAGCCCAAGATGAAAGATCTAAAAATACTGACATTGGGGGGTTTTCCAACAACCAACCATCCTACCACCCTTCACTGACGTTGATGGTGGAGAAGCGCCACACTGTGCACTCAGAGTTTCCAGGCACTTTTTAGCTCTCACTATTAATCATGAACAGACACTCAAGGATTACCAGATGGAGAGGAAAAGACCAAAGCAAAGTAACAGGAAAAACTTGAGGGGCTGGGGCAAGTGGCTTGGTGGTAAAATGCTTGTCTAGCATGTGTGAGGCCCTGAGTTCAATCCCCAGCAACACACACACACACACACACACACACACACACACACACACAGTTAAAAAATATTTAAATCTTTTAAAAAATCCTCAGTTATTGCAAGGTTATTAGCAATTTCACTCTCTTCTGTTGTGCACACCCACAGACTTTTATTTATACAGTGTCACCCCATTTCTCAAGATGCCTGTATTCTAGCAAGGCTACACATTCAGCTTCTGTGTTTTTAGTTTGTGTGGTGAGTGGATTAAGAGAGGGATGCTGGAACCTCCTAAATCTTCCACAGCTAATTGTGCAACAATAAAGAGGAGGAGGCAGTAGGGGAAGACATATGGTAAACCATGACAAAATTAAGCCAGAAAGTTCACAGCAAAATTCTTTTTAATAACATAATTGTTTAGAGAGCTAGGGACACCAGATGTGTTTCTGCTCAGCATCACCTGGTTCTAGAAGCTGGACCAAGGAACCCGCATACTAGCACCACCGAAAACTGACTGTTGCTTGAGCAGCGAGAACTGACAGGGGCTCTCCGTTTCATAGCAAAGGGTCACGTGGGCAACGCATAGCTTACTGGGAACTGCCCTGGCTGCAAAACAGGACAGATGGGCACAAGCTCTTTAATGGCTCCACTAACTATGGAAGAAAGTAGCAGGATGAGAAAAGGAAAGGTTCCAATAAGAACCGGAAATTGGGCAGAGGATTGATTTGTCTTCTTTGGTAAGAAGAAACTGAGGGAAATTTTCTATAAATTGGGATATTCTGTTGCAGCCTGGAAGTTAAAGAATATGTTACATAAATAAGATGTCACAAACTGCACTGTGTATCAAAGGTCTAAGGGCAGGAACGGGAGTAGATGCTGATTATTTCTGATTATTTCAGAAACCCACTGTAAAGGAATAGTAGGATTTAGTTTTACCATCTGAATTGTTAATTAGATTGTGGGTCAGATAAGTATCCTAATTAAAATGTGGTGACCATTATTTGGGCCAACCTGAGTATATCCCTCAACTCATCTCACTTCATCTCCAGTGGCCCAGCCCAATCTATTCCACTTGCATTACTTTAGTGGGCCATAAAATACACCAGTATTTGGCTCATCATTGTATGCAAGGTTTCCCACAAGCCCACAGGTGAATTTTAAGTGTTTATTTTATATATCTCTTAAAAGGCCAATTTTCCCAAGCAGCCACCTCACCTCCATAGTGATTCAGTACTGTGACCTCATCATACCCACACTAAAATACCAGGAAGACAAACATAGTTCAAATCAGGAGAAAGGCTGGCTGTTGTGGACCTACTTCAGAGGCCTCAGTACTGTTCTGTTACTTAACATTGTCATCCTTGATTCTTATGATTTGAGGTAGGAGTTAATAATGATTAGAAACAAAGAACAGAGGGGCATGGGAGAAGGGAAAAATTAAAGCGAATCCCTGAACAACAATGACAAAATATTTCTGCAATGCACTTTGATGGAGAAAAAGTAATCTTATCCAAACCCCAGCCAGGGCTGTGGAATTGCATTTCTGCCTGTCAGGGAGGTGTAGGTGATGTGACATAGGTTCATCTGATGCTGTTTACCAACTTGGCTGAGTTTGGTGAGACAGAACACACTCATATGCAATAAATCACATGAAACAGTTTATTATAAGCAGGTAGCAAGGGACAATAGAAGCCTAAGATTCATTAAGAGTAGGTCCACTAAGGCTCAGGAGAGCTTCCAGGGGGAATGAAGTCTCCTATACATATTCTACTTGCACCATAGCTGAGTAACTCCAGAAAATAGCCTTCTGTGGGGTTTATATCCTAGGGATAAAATGACACACTGAGCAGAAACACTAGAGACACATCACTACAAGGGGGGCTGGAACAGAACCCAGGTTGCTCTAGCCAGTACTCCATCTCAGGATGTTGTGCTCCCATCACAGCCTACAGTTATTCTTGAAAACTGTGAGCAAGAAAATGAAGAGAACTGGGTGGATACAAAGTTAGCAGGAGAACTCTCCTGCAGGTATCACAGATCTGAGGAGGTAATTGAACCAGGTCACAAAACCCTGCTGCTCTTGCCTGAGGCATTTCTCTCCAACTCATGGTAATATGATGAAACAATGTATCACAAACATTATCAGAAATGTCTCCAGAGCTTTGATAACACTAGGAGATTAGAGTTAACAATACTTTTCGATTGTCTGTTTTTAATTAATCTTATTTACAGATGGGGAAATTAGTAATGGAAAGGTATAGGCACTGGGCAAATGACAATGTTTACTGTAGTGACAACCTAGTCCCATAGACTTACATATAAAGGGACAGAAAGAAGATGTTTGCTGAATCTGGGACTCCCCAGGACAGACCTACCCTTTGCATCTTGATTTTCTTAGTGTAGCTGGCTCACGTTTGGAAATTCTTTCAGTTTAGGAGTTTAAAAATTGTCATAGGAGAATCAAAGGTTTCAAAATGGTTACAAGATCAGTGGATCATATTACAGTATATTAGAAACAGTGAGACTCTCATTACATGTTGTTGGCTAATATATTAGTTATGTAACCAGCCACCCAAAACTTGATAGCTTAAAGGAACTACCATTTAATATACTCACAATTCTGTGGACAGATGGCACATGCCAGAGGCTTGGGAAACTGAGGTAGGAGGATAGAGAGTCAAAGCCAGCCTCAGCAACTTATTGAGAACATAAGCAACTCAGTGAGACCCTGTCTCTAAATAAAATATGAAAAAGGGCTGGGGATATGGTTCAGTGGTTAAGTGCCCCTGAGTTCAATCCTCGGTACCAAAAAAAAAAAAAAAAAAAAAAAAAAAAAAAAAAAAAAAATCTGTTTGGACTGGTCTGGGTTGGGTGATTCTTCTGCTAATGGTTGTACCCAAGGTTGCCATGTAGCTGCTGCCATCTGTTGGTTCCACTTAGAGCTGATTGGTCCAGGGACCTCTGTTGAGATAGCATCTGCTTGCTTGACATGGTCTTATCCTAGGAGGTGATATTTGGGGTATTTATGGATTAAGGGCTGGGAACTGGGGATGGAGATGATTTAGCTACATTTCTAGCTGAACTTCTTCATAGGGCATAAACACATTCCAAGAAGGCAAGGGGAAGGGGTGTTGGGGAAGTTGTGTTGTTTAGTATGTTGAATATCTTTAAAAATTCCCTAGAACTTAAATTACACTAATTAAGAAGTACTCCAGAATATTAAAAGTAGTTATGTTGAAATGATAAATATGTAATTGCTTTTCCTTTGCTATTTTTGCTAATATTTGGCTCTGTGTTTAAGTTATTTCTAAAATATAAAATAACTGCCTTTAAAAAATAAGCCAAGGGGCTGGAATTGTGGCTCAGCGGTAGAGCGCTCATCTAGCAGGTGCGAGGCCCTGGGTTTGATCCTCAGCACCATATAAAAATAAACAAATAAAATAAAGGCATGCTGTCCATCTACAACTACAAAATTCCATCTACAACTGTCCATCTACAACTACAAAATGAATGAGGGGAAGGGGAGCCCAAGATTCAGTCCATAACAAGCAAAATCAAGCCTCTTCTTCCAGAGAATCAAAGGGAGGTGAGTTGGGAATAACAATCTCTGCCCTGGGACCAGACCTTGTTTCTGAGTTAGAAATGTAGCTAGACTCCATCCCCAGTTCCCAGTCCTTAATCCATAAATACTCCAAATGTCACCTACTTTATTGAGCATCTTGAACTTTTAATATATAGGAAATATTGAGCTTCTTTTCAACCTTTCATTATTAAGCAAAACCTACTAATACCCTGAACTCCATCTGCCCTGAACTTTTCTGTCATCTCATTGTCCTTACTTTCATCTACAGTGCTGAGTACTTTTTTGTTTATTTTTTTCAATGATAGCCTCAGAGTACAGCAGGAATGTCTGAAGGCATTTTCATTAGAATCAGTTGCAATTTGAACCTTGGTCCAAAGCATGATCTGGAAACAGGGCATGCTTAGACAATGACACCATCTATTTTTGCAGACCTAAAAGGCATATATTTTGAACTGAAGTACTTTTCTGCACAATTCTCCTAACTTTATGTTGAAAAACAAAAGCCAAGTCTCATGACATATGTTTTTTAGAATGTTCAAACATAAAATAAGAAATTAAATCCAGTTGGAGAAAGATTCCTTTGGGGAGAGTAATCTAGTTGATTCTGCAGCAAGTCTCAGCTCAGCTATAAATTCAAAAGCTAGGCCCTGAGTAAGTGAAATAAACTAAGAAATGGAGTTGAATTACCTCTGCAGAACATCTGGTCAAACTTGCAAGATGTGGGAACATTCAACAGAGTTTCTCAGAGAGTGGAATTCATATAGTCTCTGTGGCTTCTGCTGTTCTTTTCCCATGATGCCACCTTTCTTACACACAATCCATCAGATATGTCCACACCCTTTTCATAGGAATCTGATCTCATTTGCAAGTTAACTTCAGGGAAAAAAATATCTATATTCAAACCTATATTTTATAGGTTTGAAACATACAATGTTATTAAGAATACCTTTCCAAATTGAATGGATGTTAGCCTTAGAATGGATTTTAAAGCCAAGCCCCATCTCTATGACATTTTATAAGTTGCTCATTTTGCTGTGACAGGTATCACAAAGGAAATTCTGATGAAGTTTCTCATCCAAATCAGTGGATTTTAAGATGACAACAAAATCACTGCCATTTGTGGCAGACATTTTGCTATTCTATCTTATTTAGAAATAGAATTACACCACTAACTTGGCTCATCACATGGGTGAAAGAATCTGCAAGAGGCTTGATTTTGCTTATTATGGACTGAATCTTGGGCTCCCCTTCCCCCTCATTCATATGTTGAACTTTTTGTCAAACTTACAAGATGTGGGGACCTTCATCTTGGGTGGGATTTGTGTTGTCTTTGTGGCTTCTGCTCTTCTTCCTCTCCTGGCCTCCAAACATCTATCTCACCTACTTGTCCCTTTCCACAACCTGGCTATTCTACCTTTCTTACACACACCCATGTGACAATATGAGGAGGTGGAGACATTGGGAGGTAAACAGTTTAGAAGAGATCATGAGTGGAGCTTCCATTATGGGATTTTGTCCTTATGGGAAGAGACTAGGGTATGTATGATCTCACTGCCATGTGAGAATATGGCAAGGTGGCAGACATCTGCAAACAAGAAAGAGAAGCCTCACCAGACACCAAATGTGCAGGCACACGATCCTGATATTGACCTTGATTTTGGATTTCCCAACCTCAAAATCTGAGAAACACTTGATGTTTAAGCTGCCCATATTTTATTGTGGCAGCCCAAACTGACTAAGACATTGTTCTTCTGTAGGGTAGTTTGAATAACCAGTACTTACTTTGGCTATGTGTTCAGATTACTGACTTGGCAATAGAGATGTTATCAGCAAAATGCCGTTACCTGCATATTTTGGATATCTCTGGTTGTATCCGACTTACTGACCAAATCCTTGAGGACCTTAAGGTAGGCTGCAAACAACTCCGGATCCTTAAGATGCAATACTGCAGACACATTTCCATGTAAGTATGCTGCTGAGCACAAAGAGCTTTGAGAATGACTTTCTGAGAAATAGAACATATGGCTATGACATTTGTAATACACAGTAGCTTTCAGTGTTAAGAAATTTCATTTGTTTATTTTTTGCCTACTTAAATCTAACATTTTGAGTAGAAGCGTGGAAGTTCTCGTCTAAACTGGTCTTTGTGGTGTCATATCCCTTTCCCAGTGGCCCTTCTACTTTAAGCACCTTCCTTTCCTTGACCAAGCAGGTGTCCCAAGCTTAACTCTGCCTCTGTAGCTTATCTCTAGCTCTTCCTCTACTGCTCCTTTCTCAAAGTACAATCCATTTAGTTAATTTGCCCTAGGGCTAGGAAAATAATCGGATTAAACAAGCTCACAATAAATCTTTTTTCCTCTATTACTCAGGGTGAAAATATGTAAGTATTTTAATTGACCTAATGAAATAGTTTGTGAAATGTGCAGAATGAGAATCCTGACATTCCCTAAAAAGGTCAGGTTCTTTTTTGCAACCTGGAAAAATTAATATTAAGAATTAACATTATCAAAGTCTAAAGGACAGAATGTGGTCCAAGCATTTATTTTAAAAAAACTTTTTTATTCTAATTTGATATGTATGACAGTAGAATGCATCACAATTTTTATTACACACATAGAACACAATTTTTCATATCTCTGGTAGTACACAAAGTAGAGTCACACCATTCATGTCTTCATCCATGTACTTAGGGTAATGATACCCATTTCATTTCACCATCTTTCCTACCCACATACCCCCTTCCTTCCCCTGCCTCCCCTTTGTGCTATCTAGAGTTCGTCTGATCCTGCCATGCATCCACCAACTCCATTATGAATCAGCATCCTTATATCAGAGAAAACATTCAGCATTTGTTTTTTGGGGATTAGCTAACTTCACTTAGCATTATATTTTCCAATTCCATCCATTTACCTGCAAATGCCATGATTTTATTCTGTTTTAATGCTGAATAGTATTCCATTGTGTGAATATACCACATTTTCTTTATCCATTCATCTACTGAAGGGCATCTAAGTTGCTCCCACAGTTTATTTATTGTGAATTGTGCTGCCGTAAACATTGATGTGGCTGTGTCCCTGTAGCATGCTGGTTTTAAGTCCAAGAAGTGGGATAGCTGGTCAAATGGTGGTTCCATTTCCAGTTTCCCAAAGATTCTCCATGCTGCTTTCCAGATTAGTTGCACCAATTTGCAGTCCCACCAGCAGTGTAAGAGTGTGCCCTTTGCCCCACATCCTCACCAACATTTGTTGTTGTTTATATTCTTAATAGCTGCCATTCTGACTGGAGTGAGATAAAATCTTAGAGTAGTTTTGATTTGCATTTCTCTAATTTCTAGAGATGTTGAACATTTTTAAAAATATTTGTTGATTGTATATCATCTTCTGAAAAGTGTCGTTCAACTCCTTGGCCCATTTATTGATTGGGTTATTTGTGGGTTTTTGTTTTTTTTTGATGTTAAGATTTTTTGAGTTCTTTATATATCCTAGAGATTAGTGCTGTATCTGATGTGTGTGTGGTAAAAATTTGCTCCCAAAATGTAGGCTCTCTACTCACCTCACTGATTGTTTCTTTTGCTGAGAAGCTTTTAATTTTGAATCCATCCCATTTATTGATTCTTAATTTTAATTCTTGTGCTATTGGAGTCTAAGGAAGTCAGGGCCTAATCCAACATGATGGAGATTTGGGCCTACTTTTTCTTCTATTAGGTGCAGGGTGTCTGGTTTAATTCCTAGGTCCTTGATCCACTTTGAATTTTGTGCATGGTGAGAGAGAGGGGTTTAATTTCATTTTATTACATATGGATTTCCAGTTTTTCCAGCACCATTTGTTGAAAAGGCTATCTTTTCTCCAATGTATGTTTTTGGTGACTTTGTTTAATATAAGATAACTGTAGTTATGTGGATTGTTTCTGTGTCCTCTATGCTGTACCTTTGGTCTACCAATCTTATTTTGGTGCCAATACCATGCCATTTTTTATACTATTGCTCTGTAGTATAGTTTAAGGTCTGGTATAGTGATGCCACCTGCTTTACTCTTCTTGCTAAGAATTGCTTTAGCTATTCTGGGTCTCTTATTTTTCCAGATGTATTTCATGACTTATTTTTCTATTTCTATGACATTGGGATTTTGACTGGAATTGCATTAAATCTGTATATTGCTTTTGGTAGTATGGTCATTTTGACAATATTAATTCTGCCTATCCAAGAACAAGGTAGATCTTTCCATCTTCTAAGGAAATAATTTAATTAATTTAACTTCTTTCTTTAGCATTCTGTAGTTTTCATTATAGAGGTTTTTCACCTCTTTCGTTAAGTTGATTCCCATGTATTTTTTTTTTTTTTTTGAGGCTATTGTAAATTGGGTAATTTTCCTCATTATTCTATCAGATCATAATGGAATGAAACTAGAAAACAACGATAAAATAAAAAATAAAAGCTACTCCAACACCTGGAGAGTAAATAATATGCTACTGAATGAACAATGAGTTGCAAAAGACATCAAGGAGGAGGTTAAAAAATTAAATGAGAACACTGATACAACATATCAAAATCTCTGGGACACTATTAAGGCAGTACTAAGAGGAAAGTTCATTGCATGGTATTCATTCCTTAAAAGAAGAAAAAGTCAACAAATAAATGACCTAACATTACATCTCAAAGCCCTAGAAAAAGAAGAACAAACCAACACAAAAATTAGTAGAAGACAGGAAATAATTAAAATCAGAGCTAAAACCAATGAAATTGAAACAAAAGAAACAACTGAAAAAGTTGACAAAACAAAAAGTTGGTTCTTTGGAAAAAAATAAATAAAACTGACAAACCCTTAGCCATGCTAATGAAGAGAAGGAGAGAGAAAACTCAAATTACTAACATACGTGATAAAAAAGAAAACATCACAACAGACACTATAGAAATATAAAAGATAATCAGAAATTATTCAAAAAACTTGTACTTCAATAAAATAGAAAATATTGAAGACATCAAAAAATTTCTAGAGTCATATAATTTGCACAAATTGAATTAGGATGATATACACAATTTACACAGATCAATTTCAAGTGATAAAATAGAAGATACCATCAGAAGCCTACCAACCAAGAAAGACCAGGATCAGATGGATACACAGCTGAGTTCTATAAGATCTTTAATGAAGAAATAATACCAATACTCCTCAAATTATTTTGTGAAATAGAAAAAAAGGGAGCACTTCCAAACTCATTTTATGAGACTATTCCTGATTCCAAAACCAGGAAAAGACGCATCAAAGAAAGAAAACTTCAAATCAATATCTCTAATGAACATAGATGCAAAAATTCTCAATAAAATTCTGGCAAATCGATACAAAAACATACCAAAAAGATCATGCACCACGATCAAGTGGGATTCATCCCAGGGATACAAGGTTAGTTCAGCATATGGAAATCAATAAATGTAATTCATTACATCAATAGACTTAAAGATAAGAATCATATGATCATCTCAATAGATGCAGAAAAAAGCATTTGACAAAATACAGTACCCCTTCATGTTCAAAACACTAGAAAAACTAGGGATAACAGGAACATAACTCAACATCATAAAAGCTATCTATGCTAAACTCCAGGCCAACTTCATTCTAAATGGAGAAAAATTGAAAGCATTCCCTCTAAAACTGGAATAAGACAGGGATGCCTCTTTCACTACTACTATTTAACATAGGTCTTAAAACACTGGCCAGAGCAATTAGACAGACGAAAGAAATGAAAGGGATACAGATAGGAAAATAAGAACTCAAATTATAGCACTATTTGCCAAGGATATGATTCTATACCTAGAAGACCAAAAAATTCCACCAGAAAACTTCTAGAATAAATGAATTCAGCAAAGTAGCAGGATATAAAATCAATACCCATAAGTCAAAGGCATTTCTGTATATCAGTGACAAATCCCCTGAAAGGGAAATGAGGAAAACTACCCCAAGCATGTAGATTTCATAAATAAACTTTCTTAATTAAGTAGCCATGGAATAAGCTGATGGCTCTTGTCACTTGAGGGTAAAATGGTTTCTGGTCCAAGGGTGTGCGGAAAGGGAAGATAAGGGAAATGAAGGAGGGAGGGAGGGAGGGAGGAAGGAAAATTATTTGTAAAGCAGGCATGCCCTGAGTCCAGGTCTGTAAGAAGAGGGCAGCTAATTGGAGCTGGGTCAAAGAGAAAGGAGTAACTCCTTGAAAATTTTTGAAGCAGGGTAGAGACTCAATCTACTCTGATAAGTCTGGAGATAACTTTGATATAAATGTCAGTAAAATCATTTAAGGAAGACGCCATGAAATAAGGTCCTTGGAGTCCCTGCTGAACTTATTATATCATTAAACAGTTAACTCTGGGCAAGATGACAGTGTTAATGGATAATGTACTACTCAAAGGAGTTTAGCATCTCATCGCTTAATCAATAGTGATTTTGCCAATCACTATTTTTGGAGATAATATTATTGAACTTTTAATAAGAGGAATTTTAGGTAGAATGAAGACTTTCTGGCAAGGAACTCTTTAAACTTAATCGTGGTATGGATATTAACAAGTGATTAATATGGTGTCTGGCCAAGAACACCCAAGATATCCAGTAATAGCCCAATTGTACCATTAATTACTCAGTTCTATTGCAGGGTTCCTAGATTAGTGTGTGTGTGTGTGTGTGTGTGTATGCATGTGCACACACACAAAGAAACGTAAGCAAGGCAGAATTTATATTTACTTGGGCCTTGTTCCCAAATCTCAATGCAAAATTCTAATTATAGCTAGATCTCTAGAAAATCTCTTTATCTAAGTCAGGACAGCAACAACTCCTAATTTGTCTTCTGCTACAATGCCTGCCTGTCTCTATCAACAAGAAGCAGGTAGAGACTTGGCCCTAATGCCTAGAAGAAGGCAGGCTTGTTCTGTGCATTTCTTTGTCTAAAGAGGTCAGACTACCACTTTTTAGTCTTCTTAGAAGCTCTGTCCTGGCTCAGTTCCAGCAGGAAAAAGGCCTAGAGCTCTTTGATTACATCTTTGTCTAGTAATGGAAGACAGTCCTCACTGCAGAGTGACTGGAAGAGTTCCAGTGTTTGAAATTGAAAGGCTTGAAGAACATCTGTCTTTATGTCCAATATCTAAAAGAGGGTACTGTTTGTCAGTCGGGGGGCTCCTGAAATACTTGGCCTCAAAACTTCAACTACAGAAATGGTAAGGCCTGACTGCTTGCAGCTGTTTGGGGCAATCTCTAGGGGCTGCAGAGCAGCTTCCTTTTCCACTTAGATCCTTAAGTGGAACTGGAAATGCACAGTGTCTGTGGACTATTTTAGTCAGCTTTTTCATAGCATGTCCAAAATATCTGACAAGAACAACTTAAAGGAGAGAAAGCTTATTTTGGCCCATGGTCTCAGAAGTTTTAGTCCAAAGTCAGTTGACTCCATTGCCCAAGGTAAGGTGAACATCATGGGGGAAGGGTTCAGCAGAGGAAAGCTGCTTAGCTCATGGTGAGGTCAGGTAACAGAAAGAGAAAAGGGAACCAGGGAAGGGGCCATAGATAAAACCAACCCTTCCAGGGTATGACCCTCGTGACCTACCTCCTCCAGCCACACCCCATTTGCCTACAGTTACTTCCCAGTCAGTCCATGCAAACTAAAATGGACTGATTAGGTTATTGCTCTCAAAATCTAGTCATTTTACCTCTGAATACTCCCACATTAACAGGAGCTTTTGGGGGATACCTCACATCCAAACCATAATATGGACCCTTCAAAACAAGAGACAAAATCTCTAGTCCCTTATTTGTTGTTTGCTCTTGCCAGGGCCAGTGTTGTTCCCTCAACTAAGGTGTTTTGTTTTGTATGGGTGAAATGGAACCTTTGGCTTCTAGGAAAGAGGAAATTTTTCTTATTTGGGAAGAGGCTCAATAATTGAATCCATTTTTTAACATGAAAATATGTTTGCAGTCCTTAAAATGCAATCACAGCTTCCAGAAGAAATGGCTTTATCAACAAATTTCCCCATACTCACTATAATCTGGAAACACTACACTAACTTTGCAAAACAAGAAGCTTGGCTCATCCCAGTGTTTTTAAACCAGAAGAGGAGCAAACTTTTGTTGGTCAATGTGCAAACTAGCTAGCTATAGTTCTTTTGCAAGAGAGCACCCACCATAAGATATAACTGTCATTCTACAAACCCCAGGGTCTGAAAAGGCTCCCCCACTATTGGATTACTATTTTTATACCACAGATACCAACAAATTAACCCTGGCTTAAAGCTGACTGAGGAACTATATGACCTGATATTTTATAAACATTGTCAAAGCTGGGCGTGGTAGAGCATGCGTGTAATCCCAGCGGAGGCCGAGGCAGGAGGATTGTGAGTTCAAAGCCAGCCTCAGCAAAACTGAAGCACTAAGCCACTAAGTAAGATCCTGTCTCTAAATAAAATACAAAAATAGGGCTGGGGGTGTGGCTCAGTGGTGACGTGCTCCTGAGTTTAATCCCTGGTACCCCCCAAAATAAACATCATCAAACTTAGCAATAATTGTACTTATCCTCACACCAGCTATCTAGAACCCTCAAAAACTGTTGCTCTTATGAAACTAAAAGTAACATATAATTTAGTCAACTACCTGGAGATCCTTTACTCTCTAAAACAAACATTTCCTTTTCTTATAGCCAAGGCCTCTGTTGTCTCTAACTATAGTACTCTGGTACTACAATCAGTGTCAGTGGTGTTGAATCAAATGAACAACTGTGAACTACTGTATGTGTGTCCAGAGCTGATCCAAAGGACAAGGGTCAGGAGGGAATTGGAAATAGGGACCTAAGAATGCCTCTTCTAGACCAGCAAACCAGCAGAAGTCAAGAGAGTTAAAAGGACTTTCACACTCAGTGTCAGCTGCTGAAATCTCTTCCTTTGGCTGTTAATGCTAGGTTTCACAGAGAGACAAAGAAATTATGGCCTTAAATAATTTACTATTTTTTTAAACCAAAGAAAAATAACAAAGTTCAAAATTATAAACAATGCCATGAGGTTCTATATTAGAAAGAAATTAATTATATGATTAACTTCCTAAAGAAGTTCAGAGAAGGAACGCATTGGGTCGAATCTTTATACAAGAGGCTAGATTGGCTTGGAGTTTGATGGATAAAGTTTAGACAGGTAGAGATGGGATGAAGGTTAACAACGAAGTTCTGCTGCTTGGGATAGTATCTCCCCCCTTTGAAACTGGTGATGCCAATGTATTATGCCTCAATTTACTCCAACACTTGGTATTTTGTTTTGGTAAGTCTTTGGAGGGAAATCTTGCAGAAGATATATGAAGAGGTACAGTAATCTCAATTCCATAGAATTGAAAAAAAAGAAATATCAGAAGAATATGGGGAAAGCAAAAGATACAAGCTTATTCTTTTTATATAATAATGTTTTACTTAGAGGACATACAAAGGTTTATATAAGATGTTTAAAATAGAATAGCTCCTTTAAAAAGATTTTTTAAATTAACAGTATAAAACCTTATTTTTGACCATAATTTACCATTTTCATACTTTGAGAATAAATATTAAGAAACGACACTTGTTTGCCAAGTTTTAGCACAAGAAGATGGTAGTTTTGAACTAGAAATTAGTATATAACAATTACTTTTACTCAAATTATTCTTTAAATTTATATAAATCGTGTGTGAGTGCAAGAATGTTAGCCAAAAAGCAATGTGGTAAGAGGCAGAATTAGCAATGCTTTGGTTGTCTCCTTGTTGAGTTTGGTTATGATTAACAGCATTTTAAACTAACATATCTCTGCTTTTTCCATTTTCATTGCCCTATCTGAACTCATATGGACATTTAGTACAAATTTAACTCCAAGGTGTGGTAATACCAGCTCCATATCAATGACTCAGTTACTTTTGCAATTAATAATTCAATGTAACAGACTGCAATAGTAGTGGGGAAAGTAGGCCCTTAATGGGTGAACATCATAGTTACTCATTTCTAATCCAATACAAGTGGACAATTATTCATTGCCTTTTTAGTACTGGCCTTGTAATTTGAACCAATTTCCTAGGAAAGTCCTCTGTCCTCAAAATGGCTTTGATATACCTTTGTTTCCGATGCTTTCCTCCTCCATCCCTCCCTTCCTTCCTTCCTTCCCCAAGAAAGACAGTTATTTTTAATTATTTGGCTGTGGACTCTTTTGAGTCACAGCCCTTCTTCTCAGGGAAATATGTATGTGAAACAAAACTACGTGGACTTTCAGAGACCCTCATGGACCTCCCTGAAGTTAGTTCATTCAGGTATCCAACAAGGATCTGTGAACTCTGGGTTAAGAGCTTCTGCTCTGGTGCCTGGTCTGCCTTCACAGGTTGGCTGGTTAGGTTACTCCCTTATTAGAAACCCTGGATATACCAGGAGAGGACTTGTTCAACAGCTCTCTAAGTGTTCCCATTCCATGGCCGTGCGGTCTTCTTACCCACTCACTGTGTACTCTGAACAGGCTGAACCAGACCTGCTTAGGCTCTGGGATCCTGGTTATCAGCCCAGTTATCCAGAAAGGCAAGAGAGCTCTGAAGTGAATTCAACTTGTGACAAAGTTCTCTTAATTCCAAATGTGGTCTAGTTGAAAATGGTATACTAGGAATTAACTTGCTAACACTAATCATTGTTATTCCAGGGAGGCAGCTCACAAAATGTCATCTGTAGTCCAGCATCAGGAATACAGCTGCAGTGATCCTCCAAGTTGGTTTGGCTATGACGGTGGTGGCAATCCTCTTAATGTTCAATATACAAAACCATTTAAAGGTGTCCCAGAGGTGACAGTGAAAGACTCAGAGTACAGTAGTACTGAAGAGGAAGTATGACCTTCAGCCTCAAGCAGGAAAAACCAAAAAAAAAACAAAACCCCAAAATTTAGAACCTAGCAACCTTTCTTCACTTGATGAAAGTATCTTTTCTAGCTGGATCTCAGTAACAATGTAAACAAGCAGCAAGTCATCTTCTGATTCTTATCCCACCTACAAATGTTTCTAAATATATTGGTTTTTCTGTCTAAATAATCATGATCCCTAAATTTAATTTAATCAAACCAATAATTTTGACATTATCAAGTTTAAGGTTCTATTATAGGAAACAACCCTGAGAGATGTAAATTTTTTGAAAAGAATTTTTAAATTTGTCTCTAGATAAGCAAGGATGGCCATATAAGTCAAAATAAAAATTTGAGCCAGGACAATGACTTTAAGGATCTGTGAAGCTTTATTATAAAAGATAGACATCCATTTTCAAAGGAAAAGGGGCTCTTTTTTGTGTGATTTCCAGGTATTTTACAACAAAACAGAACTAAATACAAATTAGCTCTGGATTCATTTAAACACTTTAATAGGGGAAATTAAATAGAAGCAAAAATTGTCTATGAACAGAAAAGTTATAATTCCTATAATGTCTCAGAAACATCTTTTTAATCAAGTTTGCACTATGGAGGAATTTTAAAACCAAACTGTGTCAAAAAAGATGTTCCCTCAATTTTTGCTAGGAGGTATGGGCTGTTAATTGCATACACTGATATTGACAGAGTCCAGGAGAAAGCACAGCTCTGTTCTGACTGCTACATACAGGCTGCATCAGTGATATTAGACAGTTTTTTTTTTAAACTTTCCTATTTCCTCAATAATTTCCCTCTTAAATGGGGTTATTCCCTGTCTTCTTGTTTACCTTAAGTTTGAAATGAATATAAAAACTTAAAGATATGAAAGTTATTTTGGAAAGTTTTAAAAGGGATGTACAAGCATTATTATAGGGTACTCTGTGTTAGCTAATATTATGGTTTCGATATTAGGTGTTCCCAAAAAACTCATGTGTGAGACAATGCAGGAAGGCATAGAGGTAAAATGATTGGGTTAAGAACATCTTAACCTAATCAGTGTGTTCATCCTCTGATAGGAATTAAGTGGGTGGTAACTGTAGGCAGGTAGGGTATGGCTGGAGGAGGTAGGTCATTTAGGGCATACCTCTGGGGTCAACATTTGTCCTTGTTTAGCGAAGCTCTTTCTCTCCCTGCTTCCTGTGGTGATGTCTTGAGTTGCTTCCCTCTACCACATTCTTCTGCTGTGATGTTCTGTTTCACTTAAGCCCTGAGAAATGGAGCCAGTGGTCTATGGACTGAGATCTCTGAAATTGTGAACCCCCAAATAAACTTTTCCCCCCTCTAAAACTGTTCTTCTTAGGTCCTTTGGTCACAGCTGAGAAAAAGCTGACTAAAATAGCTAATCTCCCCCCGCCCTTTTTTTGGTACCAGGGATTGAACTCAGGCGCACTCAAACACTGAGCCACATTCCCAGCTCTATTTTGTATTTTATTTTAGAGACAGGATCTCACTGAGTTTCTTAGGGCCTCTCTAAGTTGCTGAGGCTGGCTTTGAACTTGGGATCCTCCTGCCTCAGCCCCCTTAGCCCCTGTGCTACCACACCCGGCTTCTCCCTCATTTTTGAAAGGGCTTTTCTTTCTACCTGATTTTTAAAAAATTCCTTTTTCCTTTGGTGCCGCAGTCCGGCTGCAGCAAAATAACTGGGGGGTGACGGACAACTTGTGTACATTGATACAGCAGGAATGGGAGCCGTTTATTATAGGACAACAGAGGTATTTATACATTTTACACAGCTTATCTTAATTAGCATAAACTCGATACAGCAGTCAACCAATAAGGACTCTCCACACTTAACCGCTCGCTGGCATTACTTCACAAACCACTCCCTCTGGCAAAATGTTTACATTTTGTTTACAGACTCTAACATTTGCCAGGCGCCATCCTGACTTGTTTACAGACTCTAACACTTTGGTACTCAGGATTTAACCCAGGGGTGCTACATCCCTAGTCCTTAATTTTTAAATTTGAGACAGGGTCTCACTAAGTTACTGAGGCTGGCCTTGAACTTTTGATGCTCCTGCCTAAGCCTCCTGAGGGCTGGGATTATGGGTGTGTGTCACCTCTACTTGGCTTTTTAAAATAAGTAGTGGAAAGGTTCCTGGGAGTGGACAGCAAAGGAATCAAATAAGTAGAAAATCTTAAGACCTGAGCCAAGATGATTATGGTAGGAGTGAAATTTTAAACTAAATTTGGAAATTTTTGGCAGTTGCATAAAAATTAGCTTCAGAAGTCTAACCCCTAGATGTCTCATGCACACAACTGTAGAAGAGTCAGTTGGTTTCCAAAGGAGTACCTGCATGGGTAAGACCAGGCCAAGGAAAAATATATCCTGTTATGTTTTCTAGAAACCCAGCAGGTTACTTTATAGGCAAAGCTTGCTCCCAAACTCTGTAATACCTTCCTTGAAACAAGAACAAGAGACCCATTCATTCATTCTGGTGAGATAAATGTAGAGGTACAGAATTGAAAGAAAAGGGGTAGGTGTTAGAAAAAATGAGCCATGCAAGGGAACCATATGTACAATGCCATAATAATAATAGCTATAGTAGACTGAATTATAGTCATGACCTTCTGCTTGTTGTTGGCTAATTTCATCAACTTTATTTTTAGATATGAAAATGTTTATATAATTCCATGAGGGTGAAAAAAGTTTATAAAAATTGCCTTACTGCCTCACATTTTCCTCTCCTGACAGTTTAACACACACACACACAATCACCTCAAATATACCAGCATATGAATATCTTTCAAACTTATACAAATTCTGGTTTCATGAAGACTGAACTAAAAGAAGACATTAAGATATCCCACAAAGTTGAATTTATTTCAAAAATAAGAAGTTAGCTGGGCACGGTGGTGCATGCATATAATCCCAGCAGATCGGGAGGCTGAGATAGGAGGATCACAAGTTTAAAGCCAGCCTCAGCAATAGTGAGGCACTAAGCAACTCAGTGAGACCCTATCTCTAAATAAAATACAAAATAGGGCTGGGGATGAAGCTCAGTGGTTGAGTGCCTGAGTTCAATCCCTGGTACCCCCCCCAAAAAAACAAAGAAGTTAAAAACAGAACTTTAAAGAAATGAAATAGTAACAAAAAGGAGATTATTCTAAATTGCAGAATTTAAAAATAGTTATTAAAATTTAGTATTTAAAAGTTGATTTATCCTAGTCATAAAAATATAATCCAATAAACAGATCTATTCAGTATTGTATAATTTAAATGTTCTAAGAATAAAGTTGAAAAGAAATGAATTTCATAAAATAACTTTATAAAGTACACCATTATAAAATTGAAAATCTATCTTCATACATCAGGCAATAAAATAACTTTTTTTCTCCTAACTAGTTATATATTACATTACACAAAAGATATTAAGAATCAATAGCAACTGCTTCACAATTATAAGATTTTATTTACAGCTTAAATTTCCAATGATGTTTTAAGAGATATTCAGTAGAAAACCTGTCACATGAGAGCTATAGTACAAAGAATTCTAAGATAAATACCCTTCATGACTGATGCATTTGCATAATCTCTTCACCTTGAGTGGAAATGGAAACTCTTGATTATGCTGAAATTTCACTCCCATGATCATGTGACATATGATAAAATACAAATTATTCTGGGTGGGCCTGAACTCATCTTTGAAAGTCGAGATTTCTCAACTTTTAAAAAATAAGTCAGACACTCAAGCATGAGAAGGACTCAAGTGTGTCACTGCTGGCTTGAAGATGATGAGTGCCACACAAGAAGGTTGAGTGTAGCCTCTAGAAGCTTAGAGTGATTGCTAGCAGACAGCCAGCAAGAAAATGGATATCTTAGTCATATATTCATAATGAACTGGATTTTACCTATCATCTAAATGAATCTGGAAGTAGATTTCTCCTCAGAGACTCCATATAAGAAGTCAGCCTTGCTAACACCTTGATTCTGGCCCTTTGATATCCTGAGCAGAGTAGTCAGCCATCTGGGCTCTTGACCTACAGAACTGTGATCTGATGAGTGAGTATTAATTTAAGCTGCTAAATTTGTGCTACAGTGGTTCCCCCTTATCTGAGGTTTTGCTTTCCATGGTTTCGGTTACCTCTGGTTGATGACAATTCCAGAAATAAATAATTTATAAGTTAAAAAAAAAAAAGTCTGGTAAAATCTATGGTAAGATTGATTGTTTCAGCCTGGGGTTGTAGCTCAGCGGTAGAGCGCTTGCCTGGCACACATGAGGCACTGGGTTTGCTTCTCAGCACCACATAAAAATAAAATAAAGGTATTGTGTCCACCTACAACTAAAAAACAGAATAAACGTTTCACCTGTGAAAGTGTAAAGAAGGAAAAAGAAGCTAGTTTTGCTGTTGCAACTCAAACTGCTCAAGTTAGAGCTATAATGCACAAATGCTTAATTAAGATAACAAAGGCATTACATTTGCATATGTATTTGTAAGAAATAACATGGTATACATAAAATTTGGTACTGTCCATGGCACCCGCTTGTGGGGTTTTGGAACATATCCCTTGAGAATAAGGGGAGACTACTGTTATTTGTTACACAGCAAAAGAAAATGAATATGGTGGCTAAGTAAGTATTTTGAAAAGTCCCCCAATCCCAAACTATTTACCACTATTAATTCCTAATGCCACTGTTTTCAGCATTTATACGAACAGTGGAAGTTGCATTTTTGTAGTCACAGTTTGCTGATCATTATTTTAATGGCACAAGTACAGATCACGCCATTCTTAGTCTTGCAGTTTCAGGGACTGAAACCAGCTTTGACTTCTAAAACTTACAGTGCCTTTTGGGGCAGCAACATTAATCCATTTTTCATGTTTGCTTGCTTGATTCATGAGTCCTGAAATAGAAAATTGCATAAAGTTATATCTTAATGGGCAAGAATAATATATAAGCACACAAATCTTACCATATAGCTCTAAAACCAATACTTTAGAATGCCAAAAATCTTAACAAGTAGTTTGAGTTGAGAAAGAGCCGCAAAGAGGTTATGTGGGCTTGCTCTCCTTTCATTTTCTTAGAACAATTGAGAGGCAGCTGCTCTGTTTTTACTTGTATCATTTTTAAAGGAAGGTTTTAAAAGAGTTTTATTGAAGTATAGTTGACAAAATAAACCACATGTATTTGAAGTATACAATGTAATAAGTTTTGACATATGTAAGAAATCTGTGAAACTGTCTCCTCATTCAAGATAAGGTATATCATCCAGCATTCCCAAAAGTTTTCTTAACCCCTTTGCAATCTTTCAGTCATGACCCTCTGCTGGGAGCCATTAGCCAAGTAGGTATGACAATTTCCTTGCCAGCGTACCCCATGTTGCTGACATGTTGCAGCGACATTGAATGTAGGTGACCTTGCTCAAGGACCAAGGCAGATTAGGGTGTTCCCGGTTTTAAGATAATCCTGTTTAGGGCGTTCCCAGTTTAGGTTCCAGGTTTAAGGTTTAAGATTATTCCTCCCGGGAATAGGGCGTATCCTGCTGCCTGAGTTCCCCTTGAGTTCTCACGGGATTCAGACAGTATATTTTGGAGATAGAAGCCCAGTGGAGGTGAATTTGGGCAGAGAACGTGGATTTGGGCAGAGAACGTGATTGTAGACGGCTGGTGTGAGTTCGGGAATAAAGAGTTGCTGTTTGAATCTACAAGCTGTGTGGTGGCTCGTGATTGTGTGCCCAGCCAGACTGCGGCATTTGTGCCCAGCCAGACTGCGGCAACCCTCTACTATAGTTTGGATCTGGAATGTCCCCCAAAGACATGTACTAAAGGCTTAGTTCCCAGCATGGCACTATTGGAAGGTGGAAGAACCTTTAAGAGGTGGAGCCCAGTGGGAGTTCTTCTAGCTACTGGGGACAAACCCTTGAAGAGGATAGTGAAGCCCCGCCTTTCTTCATCCTGTCTCTTGTTTAATTCCTGGTGATGATATCAGTAGCTCTGCACTACCACACACTCCCTACCATGATCTGCTGCCTTAACACAAGCCCAAAAGCAATGGAGCCAACTGGTCATGAAATGGAACCTCTAAAACTTAGTCAAAACAAATGTCTTTTCAAGTTGATTATCATAGTATTTCTTGCAGTAAAAGAAAGCCAATACACTAACACACCCTCCCTTCTTTCCTTATTCCCAGCAATCAATGATCTGCTTTGTGTTACTATGAATTGCATTTTCAAAAATTTTCTAAACTTGGAACCATACAGTATGTACTCTCTCTCTTTTCAAAATCTGTCTTCATTCAGTGTATTATGTTGAGGCTCATCTGTATTGTACTGTGTATCCAGTAGTTTCTTCACAGGCATGGTAGTCAGTACTTTGTTGGGTGCTCATGAGTACCATCTACAGAATCCCCTGTGCTATTGTTCCCTCTTGTCTGAAACTTTGTCTCCTGAGCTCTGGGAAGCCCTGGTCTGCCCAGTCTACCCACTCAGTCTCCTGTAGTCCGAGTATCTGCAAGGCTCTGGCTCTATTATCTGTCATTGGCCTGCAACCTGGAAACTCTCAATGGACAAACTATGGCAATCACAGAGCTCACCCATCTCTGATCCTGTAACCAAAAGCTCGGCCCCTGTCCCCAATGCCAATTTAATAATGAGGATACAGTTTTGAGAAAAAGGAAAAAGTTTATTGCTTTGCTAGCAAAGGAGAAACACAGAGGACTCCTGTACCAAAGTCTGTGACTCTCCCAATCAGAAGGGATGGCAGGGTGGGTGTCACATACCAGGTGTGTTCTGGTAGGGGGCCTCTGGGGACCCTCATGAAATGTTAGAATTCATTTGTTAATTTGGGAGATATTCATTTCCCAGATCCTCAGCAGGCATCTCCTTCCTGTAGTGGGTGTGTTCAAGGGCAATTAACTAGGTGAAGAAAGGATAATACTGTCTCCCCAATCTTGTTAGGGAGAGGTAGAGGGGAGAAGAGAGGAAAAAACATTAAAAAAAAATAAGCCTTAGAGCAATGAGGGCTACTTTCAGAAGGTGAAGGTACCACTGTTACACTCTAGTTCTTGTCTTCTCTGTTAATTAAAGTAACTAAGGTCTTATATCTCCTCTGGAGCTCCACTGTTTCAGGATTTAAGAAGCCAGTCTAAATTGAACTGAAGAGTTGTGTATACACTGTTGGGAGTTCACTAGTTAAATGCAAGTTAACAAATCAGAGACTAATTCTCTTCTTCAGTATAGTTTTTTCCTTTGGTACCACAAGGTATTCTTGGCTGAAGAAAAGATGCTTTCTACCATGAGATCTTTGTGTTAAGGGTTCTTCTGATTCATATTCTTCTTTGAATTCTTGCCTCTCTTCCTTTAGCTCTGACCCACCACCCTGTCCAAGTCCTAGAGCTCACTGCATCTTTCTCAGACACAGCTGAGTATCCCCTTCTTCTTCTTTTGCTATATTTTCCATATGATCATTACCCATTTCTCATTAGCTTTGCTGAACTGATAAAATATCTCTGTGCTCCATTTAGTAAATCCCTGTTAGAAGCTTCCCTTTTCCCTCCAGCTCTTCATTAATAGGGTTCGGTACTATCAACTTTATCTGTTTTTCTGTGCCTGTGCTACACTTGGTAGGTCAGGATTTCAAGGTACCTTGCACCAAATTGTTTGTAATACAGAATTTCTTTTTCTGGTAATTCAAATAAGTGTTAAGGAAAGAACTGGAAATTCTTAGCTTGTTCTTTAATACCATTTAGCACCAATAATAAAACATCAGCAATAGTAGGGACTTCCTAAATATCTGGGAGCTTTGTCTTAATATATAGCTCATCACTTCCCGGGTTGTTGTGCATTTCTTATGGAGTGAGAAGCTCATCTACCCACTTCCTCCTGCAACAGGAGAGGCTAAGCACCTAACAGCAAAGAGTGATTTCAGCTTAGTGACAATATTCAAAAGACAGGGCAGTTTACAAGATTCCATTTAGTTTGCTGAAAACAGCCTTCTTGCCAATAAGCAATTTACTGAAAGCTCTTTGTACTTTGGCCTGAATCTATGGTGAGTCTATTCTAATTTGTAAAGTATAAATCCTTCCTATAAAAGTCTTACAACACATATTGGAACTTGGGGTTCCAAAACCTTGTACCTTATTTAATGTTCCTTTGCCAGTGAAAATAAGGCACTTTTTCTGTGACCTAGAAATGGAAAAATGACTACCCTATCCCTATATAGTATGGCTTCTATTGAGAATGAGGAAAGGTTGCTTAGGACATATGTTTAACTCTGCCATTTGCTTTCTAAACCCCTACCCCCGATCTATTCTAACATATGAATCTACAAGTTCTTTCTACTTTTAACCCAAAAGGCACCTAATCTAATCAGCTCTAACTATGGACAAACACGGGGCTCTGGGGAATAATTTGCAGAATTATTACTCTTTTAAAATATAGGATTAAAAAGCTTCTTAGAAAGATGAGCTTCTTCCTGCCTCCCACCAACTCTCACTTCAGACTTTGTTTATTTACATTTGGTTCAAAGAGACACTTCTGCTTCTGCTTCTGCCTTTTTTGCAGCAGATAAAACTTCAGCACATCATGTCTTTTTCACATGACAAATACCATGGACCATGCACTACCACAAGCACCATACATACTAAGTAATTTAGGGAGATTCAAAAAATATAAAAAGACAAATTATGCCTTCACGAGGTTTACCAGTACACTAGGAAAAGAAATCATACATGTATGAAACAATATGAAAATAAATACTCTGAACTTTTATTATTTTTAACACATAAATTTCATAAACTCCTAACAATACAATTCCATAACAGAATATTTTGTCAACAATAACTAGAATTTTCTTTTAATAAAAGTACAACCCAAGATATTTTGACAAAAAGTCTTTACTGATAAGAAAATATTTATAAGCTAGTTTTAATGGTACCCATCTATTATATTTTCTCTCCAATATCTGGAACAGTAACAAAGTTAACAGTACTTTAGGCATTGAGCAAGAATACAATTAATAAGCTCTGCCTGAGAAACAATCTCATAGACTCCTTCCTCAGATCTGTCCTTCTGCGATATCTAATCCTATCTATTCCTTTTTCATCTCAGACTTATAATTCTAATTTCTAAGAATTCAACTTTGGTCTTTTTTGTATCTCATATGCCTTAAGTTTTTGAACATGTGGAATAACAATTATAATGATGGTTTTACTTTCCTTCTCTGCTAATCTAATATCTGTGTCCTTTCTGGGTTGGTTTCATTGGTTCTTCTTTTTGTTATGGTTCATGTTTTCTTTCCTCTTTGAATGTCTGATAGCCTCTGAATGGATTTCAGATGTTGTAAATGTTACTTTGTTAGGTGCCAAATACTTTGTATTCTTATAAATCTTGAGTTTTGCTTGTGATTGAAGTTAAGTTACTTGGAAACAGTTTAAGTCTTTCATCTCTTGCTTTTCTCATTTGTCTGGCAGTTTTGGAGTTGAGTTCTATCTAGGACTATTTGTTGCCCACTACCCAAAGCCCTATGAGTTATGATTTTTGTTTCTGATCTAGTGGGTAGAAGGGGCATTATTTCTAGATGCGTGTGAGCACTAGGCTCTACTCCCTCTGGAAGTTTGTTCTGCAAAATTAGTTGTTTTGGTCTCTGTGGACTCATATTGGATCTCATCAATTCAGGTAGTCTGCCCGTAATAGTTCTCTGTACTTAGCTTGATGACTTCCTTGGCAATGATCAAGGCCCATTTTATTTGTTTCCCATCTCCCAGTGACTACTTTCTTTACTGCTTGATGTTCAGTGTCTTGAAAACTTCAAATATTTTGTCTGTTTAATGTGTGTGTGTGTGTGTGTGTGTGTGTGTGTGTGTATGTATCACAGCTTCAGGTGGGAAGGTAACTTGGTCCCTTTAACTCCATCTTAACTGAGGGACTATATTGTTTTTCTTTCTTTGCCTCCCCCTTCAACTCCTTCCAATCTTTCTCCTTCCATTTCTTACCCCTACACAAACTGACAAGAAATTACAAAAATAGTACAGAAGGGTCCTGTACATTTATCACACAGTTCCCCCAATGGTAACATCTTACATAATTATAGTACGTTATCAAAACCAGAAAATTGGCTGGCAAAGAACAATTCATTAGACTATAGACCTTATTCACATTTCACCACTTATTCCATGCATTATTTTTTGGTAGGATTTTGTGCTCTTTTATGACATTTTATCACCTATACAGACTCATATGGCGCTTATTATAGTCAAAATACAGAACTATTCTTCCCTTAGATATCCCTTTAAAATCACACCCTCCTTCCCACTCCTTCTCTAACTTTTGGAAACCACTTGTCTGTAAATTTTGTCTTTTCAGAATGTTATACCAATAGAATAATCTTAACATTTTAAAATTGGTTTTTTTCACTCTAAACAGTACCTTGTTCCATTCAAATTGTGTATCCAATAGATTGATTGGTCCTTTTTCCTGACAAGTTATATTACTTTACATGGACATACCATTTTGTATATCCATTCACCTATAAAAGGGTATTTGTGTTATTTTCAGTTTGGGGCTATTACAAATAAAATTGGGAACTTAAGTTCCATTTCTCCAGGAAAAATATCCAGGAATATAATTGCTGGGTCATACTCAGTTTTTGAAGATACTGACACTCTCAATTCTAGAGTAAATGTATCATTTTACATTTCTATCGGCAATGTAAGGAAAGATCCAATTTCTCTGCATCTTTCCTAGTGCTTGGTATTATCAGTATTTTTTTTTAAAATTTTTTATTGTTGGTTGTTCAAAACATTACAAATTTCTTGACATATCATATTCCACACTTTGATTCAAGTGGGTTATGAACTCTCACCTTCCCCCCATACACAGATTGCAGAATCACATCAGTTACACATCCATTGATTTACATATTGCCATACTAGTGTCTGTTGTGCTCCGCTGCCTTTCCCATCCTCCACCCTCCCCCCTCCCCACCTCTCCCCTCCCCTCCCCTCCTCTCTCTCTACCCCCTCCACTGTATAACCCTGAGGGTCTCCTTCCATTTCCATGCAGTTTCCCTTCTCTCTCCCTTTCCCTCCCACCTCTCATCCCTGTTAAATGTTAATCTTCTTCTCCTGCTCTTCGTCCCTACTCTGATCTTAGTTACTCTCCTTATATCAAAGAAGACATTTGGCATTTGTTTTTTAGGGATTGGCTAGCTTCACTTAGCATAATCTGCTCTAATGCCATCCATTTCCCTGCAAATTCTATGATTTTGTCATTTTTTAATGCAGAGTAATACTCCATTGTGTATAAATGAGTATTTTGTATTTAGCCATTCCAGCAAATATGTAATGGCATTTCATTCCAGTTTTAATATGCATTTCCCTAATGACTAGAGATGTTGAACATCTTTTGTTTATTTATTTGCCATTACGTATCTCCTAGGGTTGCCTTGTTTCTTAAATCTTCCATGATCAAAGTTTTTGACCCATAAATTATGTTTATGTACATAGAAGTTTTATGTGCATGAATCTTCAAGAGTGGGAAGAGTTCACTCAGGATAAGGATTTGGCTATGGTTCAATATTTCTTGAATGACAAAAATAAATACAAAAACACATAATTAAAAAAAAAAACCTACAGTCATCACAAAAAATTCGTTGTAGTGCTCTAAGACTGAGGTGGACACTTTGATGTCTAGGGGTTAGCACACTATAGTCCATAGACCAAATCTGGCCACAGGACTGAATTTATATGGCCTGAAAGCTAAGAATGGCTTTTACATTTTTGAAGGGCTGTTAAAAAAACAAAAAAAGAATGTACAACAGAGAGCACGTGTGACCTGCCAAGTCTAACACATTTACCATCTGGCCTTTTCAGATAAAATCTGCAGATGAATGGAAACAAAACCTGATTTTTTTTTTAACATTAACAAAGTTAATGTCTGATTACACATGATACTCCCAGGATCTTACACCTAACAAAAGGGTTGGAAAACAAAAACAGCATAATAAAAGCATAAATGATCAGAAGACAGATCCCACAGTAACTCCATGTCAGAGTATTCTTTAGCAGACAGACATCAACCTAACAGCATTCTTAATTATGTTAGTGAATTTCTTCTGTGTGGTCCTAATGCACATATAACTGACAAATGTATGATAAGCTTGGAGAAAACCACAACTTCAGTGTGTTCTTTAAAAAAAAAGTTATTTCTAAAATTTCTATCAAAAGATTGCATTTCCTCCCATTGGAAGAGAAGACATGGTCCCTAGATTTTAAAAGTAGCATCAGTATAACTAATCAGAACACACACCCATACACACAAAGTAGCATCCAATGGGCCATGTCTCATTTCAACCTCTTTCCCAACCGATGAACCAGTTTTCCATTGTAAATTATAATACTATTATGCATATAACCCTCTGGCCTAAAGATAAATTGAGAACTCATCTAACTTGGTGTTTATTTTTATGTAAATTTTTTTATTTATATATGACAGCAGAATGCATTACAATTCTTATTATATAGAGAGAACACAATTTTTCATATCTTTGGTTGTAGTTTATTTTTATTTCAAATGAATGTTATCTTTTATATGCTTTACATTTCCATTTGACTAAAATGAAATGAATCCAGTAGTGCCAACTTCCCTACTATATGGTGACAAACACCAATCCTATGCAATACACCTAATCTCTAATACTTTTTAAATATCCAAATTTTGAAGTTTTAAAACAAAAGGACTTGGTACCACATGCATTTCTGAGCTTGGAGAATGGCTTGATAAATCACAGGTTTCATATCTAAGTTGATGTACCAAGTCTAAAACCCAGAAGAGAAGTCAACTTCTTATTAGAAATGTGTTACCTCAGTCATTCACAACCTGTTGAATTTACCACTTACGAGTAGAACATAAAACTTAGAATCCAAGCTCTGTAAAGAGAATGCTCCACAGAGAACACATACTGTACATAACCCATAGTCTTGGGCTTTCTTTTGATTTCAGAATAACACACAATACTTGTAAATCACAGTAAGAATCATACAACTGAGAGTTTGTATCAGTGACAGCAATGGCAAGGCAAACCATGAAGCAGGAAATCAAAAACAATTATAGGGTTGATATATCAAAACCCTTTGGGGAGCTTGAGCCTGAGGGACTAAATTTTACTGGCATGGCTTCTTGCAGAAATCATACTTATGCTACAGATTAAGTCCAGACTTCTTAGCAAGAAGGGTAATATTTCTGTTTCTCTGCCTTGTAGGATCTATGAGGAAGGCCTAGATGAGCTGAGCTCAGGGGCTTATAGTAACAATGTACACTGAAGCTGCCCATTTCTAAAATTAGGTTTCAGAATGGAAATCTATACACCCACACACTCTCCCACATACAAACCCTAAAAAAAAAAAAAAGAAGAAGAAGAAGAAGAAACCCAATGTCTCTTTTAAGTATTTCACTTTCAAAGTCTCTTAAAAGTATTTCATCTACTTGATAAAAAAGGCCTGTGACCTTTAAGAATCAAACTAGGAGAGTTTGTTTTAAATCCAGTCACTAATTTATACGGCTCGCTGAAAGACAGAATGCTGCTGTCTTTACCTGGGGTCTCTGTACATTGTCACTCTAATGGATTTATCTAGTATCAGAGACAACACACAGATCTATCTGGTGCCCAATCCCATAGTAGACTCTGTAGGTCAGTATCTAGATTTTTACACCATGAGCAGGAAATAAAATTTCTTCTGCAATTTGGTTCTTCCTGATGTAAATAGAGATCAGAGTGTAAGACATAACAAATAACACATACAAACATCTAAATAAGCCAAGCAGTTTCATAATAACCATTGAAGTAAGTATGTATCTTCTCATTGCATTCATTAACCTTGTCCTTCAACCAAATTTGTTGAAAGTCTGTTTACTGAGTATAAGATAGCTCTGAAAAGACCAGGCCAACTGTATTCTTTCTCCTGAATTACTGTTTGATACATTCAGATTCTCATCAAATTTTCATTATGTAACTAAGAGCCTGTTCATTAGTCATTGAGTCAGATCTAAAAATATATACAGGTATTATTTTTATCCCTTTATGCTTTTCTTAATATTTTATTATTTTAACAAAACTACTTCTTAACTTTCATGACATATAAAATGAACGTTTAAAACTGAAACTTGATCTTATGAAGACCGTACCCACCTCAGCACATATACAAACATTCGTTTTTCTAGTTAGTCCCTCATGCTTAAGCACATAGGGTATGCCCATGCACACAGTTAAATTTCAAATCCTTTTTGATGCCATTCTGATAGAATTTAAAATAAAATTTCACCATCATGAATTTTTGTATCCATTTATACAACAAACATTTTAAAAATTGCATTGGCCATCAGTGCAGCTAACTATAATGAAAAATATACAAAATTATTTACATTTATAGGATTAATAATTTGCTATATTAAAAGAGGAAATTTATAATATGCATAAGAAACCAAATTATTTTTCTTGAATCAAGCAAAGTTAGCTTTAAGTCTTACATTATAATATATGTTTTTAATTGATTTTCAAGTTTAAGAATTAGAAAACAGCTGTTCCATAAAAAAATTTAAATCCATTTTATCCAAGGACAGGACTAATGAGTGTTCCTAAATGATTTAATGAGTTCTTTTCAACAAAATGTCTTCATCATGTTACTGATAAGCAACAGAAAGAAAAAGGTGTTCAACATTAGAATGTGACAATGGAAAAGAATAAAATTGTGGCTAACTATACCACATTTCTACTTATGTATAGAAAATGAGTATTCACACATGGTAAAATGCATCCTCCTTACCAGTAATTATTACACCATCATCCTTATGAGCTTCAGCCATTTCCTGAACACAGATTTCTGGGCTCACATCAATTTCTTTCCCTGATAATTGTAAATGAGCTTGAAGAGAAGATGGTACCTTCACAATAACAGAACCTGTGATAAATTTAAAGGAGAGCTTATTAGTCCAAAGCAATCTAAGTACCAGAATCCATTATAAATTAGATTGAACAAGGTTAGGATTGCTCCTTATACTATGTTTTTACTCCTCAGCACATTTATTCAAATAGCAGTGCCTTGTCTTTACTCCCAAGAGATCAAAGTTCCCTTACTCTCAAGGCATTCATAGTAACTCTGTCAAGAGTATGAGGCATTAGGAACATTATAAACTATTGGTTCTTTTTTTGCCAATAGCCCCACCCAATTCATCTGATATTAGAAAAGTGAGTGGATTGCTACACATGTAGCTTATAGATAGGATTTACTATTAGTTAAGCATTTACTAAGAGCCAGCCACTTACTATCCACATGAAATTTATGAGGTACTATTATACTCACAATTTTACAGATGAGGACTTGCTCAAGGTCTCATGTTCTACTGTTGGAACACATATCCAGTTAAATGACTACAAAGCCCATCTTTCAACCACTGATATTTTACACACTGCAACTTTATCGTATTACAAGACCACAACCAGAAACTAACAGTGCCTACTGTGTGAAGGGAAAATAACAACAAAAGGAAAAGGGATTATTATTATTATTTATTTATTTATTTTAGTGGATCACAGACTTTTGAGTATCTGAGGCCTGATACTCTATATTCAGTACAATCTGATAATTCAAACTCTTTAAGGAGTAAAAATTAAAAAAAAATAAAAAAAAAAAAACTCTGTTAGAGCTATGGAGTCATTTTTCAAAACAATTATGTAGGTTGCAGTACAAATTTACCAGTACACTCCTGTATCATAAGTTTCTTTCTCTTGTTTCTCATCAAATAAAGAGTCCTCTACCATAAAGCATTAACCCCATCTCTGTGAACTGTCAGATGATATACACTGTGAATGCTGAAAAGACACCTTTTAGCATGTATTTATTTATGGGTCTGAGTTTTCCTTCTAGTCTGCTTAACATCTGCTTGCATTGCCTAAAGTAACTTGTATCTCCTTAGTCTTCCTAACTAGAGCTGGAAGTTTGGCTGATAAACTCTCATATTTATTCCTCAGAAAAACTAAGGAACTAAACATATCACTATATCTAGTTTATTAAAAAATAAGTTGCTTTCTGGGGTTCAAATATAAACACTGACAGGAGATTTCTCATGACAACAAATTTGACGACTTAAGAAACAAAACAAAAACAAACCTGGAAAATTTGAGGATGAATAGAAGATGATATGTTTTCCTATCAAACCTATTTTGGGGGAAGGGATGTGGATTGAACCCAAGGTGCTTAAACCACTGAGCAACATCCCCAGCCCTTTTTATTATTATTTTATTTGAATTGCTTAGGACCTCTCTCTAAGTTGCTGAGGCTGGCTTTGAACTTGAGACCCTCCTGCCTCAGCCTCCTCAGTTGCTGGCATTACAGGAATGTACCACGGTGCCAGGCCCTCAAACCTATTTTTTTTTCCCCAAACCTATTTTTAGAAGTAGAAAATCATGAATTTAAATACTTTTTTTCTAGGATTTTATGCCTCTAAATATATCAAATACAAAAATTTTAAGAACATAAGAACACTCTTTTCTGTTTTTACACGAACATGATCTTAAGTCTATCAAATGTTTAAGCAAACTGTTCTATCCCTATCTCCCTTCACATCTTTGAAAACAAAACCCGCCACTACCAAAACTGCCTCTGTTTGTGAATGGCTTCTAAGGCCTTGAATGTGTTCCAGTGTTCCCATCTTTAACACTATCTTTTTCAGAAAGGAGAGCTCTTGTTAGGAATCAACCTCTTTTTACCTTGCAAACTTCTGCATGGTTACTGACATCAATACTATCCTCTTAAAAATTCAAAAGCAAACTCATACTAATAAATGCCACTTACTGAAGGAATACTACATAAAAACGAGTGATTTTCCTAAGGACAACATGTTTGGCAGAAAAATCAGTCCTCAGATGTAGGGCTGACTCCCAAGCCCAAACTCAAACTGCCTTTCTGAATAAATTTCACCATATTCACTTTCACAAGGAGAGAGAAAACAAGCATTTGTAACATTTTTACTTCTCATATGGCAAAATGATGAAGACCTAAGAGATTCATATGGCTGGCTCTGAACCCTTCAGCAAGTCAGTGGCAGAGCTTGGAATGGATTCCAGATGTCTTTACTAACCATTAATCAACAGATCCTGACAAACTTTCCATTACTCTAAAAAGTTACTATTCCCAAGTATAATGAAAATTAAGAAATCAGAAGATATAAATCTTTGTTTCCATTTATCTTTCTTTAAGTTTCTTCCAGTAATGTGGTCCCAGAAGGAGAAAACACAAAATTGTAATCCAAATCAAATTTTGCAACATCATATGCTATTTCAATAGGTTGCTGGAATGACATTCTAAATAATACTAAGAAGTATTTTAAATAGATGAAGATTAATAATCTCCAAAAATTCCAAAGTTTTTGTTTTGTTTCCCTTTTTTGACCACCACACAAAAGAAGAAATAACCTTCACATACAAACAGATTATTTAAAACTTTATTTGTTTGTTTTTTTATTGATTTTATTTTTTAAAATACACAATAGCGGAATACATTACAATTCTTATTACACGTATTGTTTTTTACTATGTTACTAGTTACATTAATGGTATGATTTGTCCCCCTTTGGGTCTTCATAAGAGAGTAAAATTATATTACTAATGAGGTATCTACAATTTACTCCAATAGTATTATTGAAGCTTTTCATAGTTTAGTGAGGACATGATAATATACTATTTTAAAAAAATTATATATTTCTTTAAAATAGTATATTATGGTGTAAGAAATCACACCTCTGTGTCAGAAATAACTTCAGTTTTGACTTCTGTGTTTGGTAGCTCTACTCTGATACTCTGACAAGAAAGCCTAGTTGAATGAAAACTTGAACGAACCTGGCAGAGAAATTACTAATAGCAAGAAAACAGTCTCTAGAGAAATACTTTTCTTGTTATACCGTTAGTCCTGTTCAGATCAATATACAAGAGCTTCTAGACTTTAATTTTTTAATATAGCTCTTAACTTTTTCTGTACCAAGGCCACTTTGGCCTCTGTTGCCGAGCCACTTGTCACCATGTCCACACAAGTCACTTGTCACTGTGCATATGTGTATGCATGTGCACACAGACACACATAAACTGATAATTAGCTTTCATATGAATAAAAAGTATACCATTTTAATGAAAAACTTGATCTCTTAAAATAAGTGACTTATAAGTATAAGAAATTAAATTATGTAGAGAGGAACATCATATATCTTGATACTTGAAGAAACTCATTTCATGGCTTTACAGGATCTTCCTGGTAAGATTTATTTCAGGGTCACACTTTGCAAACTGTTACTCTATAGTGATAGCCTGAGTAGGTCCTCTTACAGGCTGGTAGGAAAGCTTTCAATATATGAGAGCATTTTCCCTCCAAAGAATATTCTATTTTAGACATAAAACTAAACAGAAAGTGGGGCACAGTGGCGCACATCTGTAATCCCAACATCTCGAGGCTGAGGCAGGAGGATCATGAGTTCAAAGCCAGCCTCAGCAAAAAAGCAAGGCACTGAGCAGCTCAGTGAGACCCTGTCTCTAAATAAAATACAAAATAGGGCCCCAGTATCTTCCCCCACAAAAAAAATGGAAAGACCCACATAATAACACTAAAAATTCTACAATAGACAGTCAAAATATTACATATTTTGTCCTACAAGTAGGAAAGACAATCTTCATGGTCGTCTGTCCCCAGATTTATAAAGATTATTGGTTTTGAGAGCTAGAAGACAGGCATTTAAGATGCTATCAGAAGAAAGTTTCCTGAAGTCACTCTGCCAATATAGGTAATATGACCATCAGTTTCCTCAGTGTTCCATAAAATCTAAATTTATACCACATATCAATATAAATGATCCAGTTGGCTAACCTTTGTGAGATTTCAATTCCACCTTCCCCAGCTGGCTGACATAGACATCGATGGCACCCTGATGAGTTGAGGCTCTTAGACATCCTGAGGATGAGTCTGAGGAAGAAAACACTGTAAGTGTAATTATTGTTATACGAGTGAATGGTATAAACTTGAAATAAAAGACTGCTTTGATGTTAGAATAGAAGTTAAGAATCTTATAAGGTTTTATATTTTCCTCATAACAATGCCATCATTTTCATAAAAATGTAAATAGTATCAAAAATCCAGAAGTCTATATCCAGACAATAACAAAATATATCTATAGTAACCTCAATAACTTATCTCTAGACATTTACTCTATAACTTCATCAGAGGAAGAACAGTATGTAAACAATGGATCCTTGACAGCCAAGATCATTAAACATCATTAGTCTATTTCATTTATTATCATATTGATATATTTAGTAAACTTGCAGAATTTGCCAAGAATTCTACCTCATATATAGTCACATGTAAGCAGTAATAAAGTAAATGAAAATCAAAATGTCTCACAACTCCCTTTTATCAAATCTGTGGTACTAAAAAGTGCTCCTAATAGCAAAAACTTATGACATGCCTGGCATGGAAGGTTTGAGGCAGGAGGATTGCAAGTTCAAAGACAGCCTCAACAACTTGAGTAAGGCCCTAAGCAACTCAGTGAGACCCTATCTCTAAATAAAATACAAAATATGGCTCCGGATGTGGCTCAGTGGTTGAGTACTTGAGTTCAATGTCTAGTACTGAGAAAAAAAAAATCTTATGACACATAAGGTTTACTACATTTCTTAGCGTGATCACTAAAGAGTAAAGCTTATTTTTATCTAATATTTCTTTCCAAGTTTCTGGAATTGAATATATATCTTTAAGTCAAGGTAAGAAAATAATAAATAAGCTAGTTCTGATAATCCTTTTTTAAAAAAATTGTTCTAATTAGTTTTACATGACAGCAGAATGCATTTCGATTCATTGTACACAAATGGGGTACAAATTTTCATTTCTCTGGTTGTACACGATAGAGTCACACCATTTGTGCAATCATACATGTACCTAGGGTAATGATGTCCGTCTCATTCCACCATCTTTCCTGCCCCATGCCCCCTCTCCACTCCACCCTCCCCTTTGCCCAATCCAGAGTTCCTCCATCCTTCCCATGCCCTCCTCCCCCATGATGGATCAGCATCCACTTATCAGAGAAAACATTCGGCCTTTGTTTTTTTGGGATTGGCTTACTTTGCTTAGCATGAAGCATCTCCAAGTCCATTCCATTACTTGCAAATGCCATAATTTTATTCTCTTTTAATGCTGAGTAATATTCCATTGTGTATATATACTATAGTTTCTTTATCCATTCATTTATTGAAGGGCATCTAGGTTGCTTCCATAGTTTAGCTATTGTGAATTGAGCTGCTATAAATATTGATGTGGGTGCATCACTATAGTATGCCAATTTTAAGTACTTTGCGAATAGATAGAGGAGTGGGATAGCTGGGTCAAATGATGGTTCCATTCTGAGTTTTCTAAGGAATCTCCATACTCAAATTTCTCTGTGTTGTCAATGACTCCATTTTCAATCAGCCAATATTTTAGTTCAAGGGGAACCAACAGAGTCAGAGATGAAGTAAAAGAATGACCTGAAGACTTCAATCAATGCAATTGGCTCCCCCTTCCTCCTCTTCTCCCACAGCAACTGAGCCTTAATATTCTATTTGACTGTCCTGAGAAGGCCATAGCATATTCTTTTTGGATAAGCCTATTTTAAAAGCACATTTCATCAGGAATTCTTATTACTTTAAAGTCGAAGCAAAGTAGGGAGTGTGGGGAAAATTTTGTTGAAAAATGCACTTTTTATAAAATGTGGAGAGAAAACATTTGTGTATCCACAAAGGAGTCAAGGTTTTTCTTTATAAAATTTTAAGTGACTCCAAACAAAAATAGTAACTTTGGAATAAACTGTTCAAAATCTAGCACCAAGATCATTTATTATAATTTGTCTCCAATTTATTATACCAAAAATTGCCTTTTATCAGACACAATTTATTAAATTTTCAAGTGTCAAAAGTAAACACTAACATTAGAAAATGAACTGCTAGATCAAGAACATAAAATAGCCAGACAAAGGTGCATATCTCACTGCTTTGATAATACCAACAGAAACTCCAGTAAGAGATTTTACTCTTACTGCATCATAAAAGAAGCCAAGTAAAAATACATTATGGTTTTTTTAAAAAAGTGGACTACACAATGTGTATATTATCCTAAGCTGAACAAGCATTAGTTTGATTTTTCTTGCTTCCTTTGTGGTGGTGGGGGGGAAGGGGAGCCACAAGATTTTTATGTGGTTCATAAACAACACTTTTCCATTTTTCCCCTTTATCCCAAATGAGAAATAAACAACTAAATTACATCCTAAGTCACAAAGTAATTATATCTTTATGTTATCAGTCTTGAACTCTGATAATGGCTTACCCCCTGGAGGCTGTCAAAAAATAAATTAAAACTGTAGATGTGTTTTGAAAAGAGAAAGCGAAAATGACATTTAAAGATTAGACAGAAAAATAACCCCTATTTTTCTTGTTTACAATACAAATCACTGTAATTAAAATTAATTATTAAGAGTAAAATTAAGGTTTACTTTACAGAATTTCTTTTGAGATTCATACAGTGGAGAAGTTGTATAGATCTTGGAGAAAACCTTAAGGGAAATATGCAGTGAACAGAAATTGCTAGTTTGGACACTAATAGGAAAAAGTAGTCTCCCACAGAAAAGTATCTATTATTATAATTCTGGGCAAAGACCTTGTGGGTCTGACAGAGACCATCAAGTTTTCCTGGAAAATTATATATACAAAAGGAACATACTGATGTCAACCACCAGCTTAACATTACACATACCAAAGAAACAGATATTTGTAATATATATTTTGTTAACAGAAGAAAAATAGCAATTATGCTTGAAAGGCTAAAGTTCTAAATTTTGCTGTTTTCCTTCAGCTTACTGAAGAACTCTCTCAAAATTCCTCCAGCATGTTCAAAGAGTTCTTAATTTTTATAATTTTACATGAAGTTTCAAAATATAAAAGAACAATCAAAATATAGTTCCTGATTTCTGCAACCTGATTCATACATTTAGAAATCTATACTAATTGCAAGGACAAGAAACAACCTTTATATATAGGACATAGGGGTTGTAAAGGCAAAATTTAAGTTTTTTAAATTGACCTCCTCTCCAGGTATTCTATATCAGGAAGGGAGCAAATAGGAGGCTGAGTTAATGAGAGGCACATAAAACACACACACACACACACACACACACACACACTCGTGTGCTTTTTTAAAGACATGATTATCATTATATAGCTTCTGACAATGCCTTTCATTGTCAGAAAAGAGGGAATACAGAGCAGAAAAAGTAAAGTTTCACAAGCGACTCTATTAGCACTCCTACCCCACCATTATTTACTATCAACTCTGCTTTCTTGTGCTAACTCATTTTAATTGGAAGATGGCCTCATGTTCCACAAGGAAGGCATTACATAGATTAAGTATCCCTAATCTAAGACTCCAAAATCCAAAATCTGAAATTTTTGAGGCCAAATGATTCCATATGTAAAATATTCCATACCTTATCTTATGCAATGGGATGCAGTCAAAATGTAACTGCACTAAAAAAACACTGTACAGAATTACCTTCCAGTTATGTGGTAAGGACTGTGTGTGTGTGTGTGTGTATGTTTCATATGTGTGTGTGTATATATATATATATATATATATATATATATATATATAAATTTTGTGTTTGAAGGTGGGTCTTATCCTCAAGATAATATATTATATATGTGCAAATATTCCAAAATCTGAAGAAATACAAAATCTGAAACACTTCTGCTCCCAAGCATTTTGGATCAGTGGTCTCAACCAGTATTTAAAAAATTATGTTATAAATTCATCTTTTTAAGGAAGAATTGAAAATCACTGGAAATAGTAACTAATATAATAGAAAATATAAATAGGTAAATATAAAAAATTATTTTCCTGAAATTCTTCCAAGTACGTGAGACAATACAAAGCAAATTGTTTTATGGGATTTGTAATATATGTGGATGTAAGAAAGTCTATACCATACTACCTTTGTTATTCTTCTGGGTATATATCTAAAGCAAATGAAATCAGTACCTCAAAAAATATATTTATACTCCTACATTCATTACAGCTTTATTCACAAAAGCTAAGACATGTAAATAACTTAAGTATCCATCAGTGGATAGATGGATAAATAATTATGGTATATGTATAAAAAAGAAATCCATAAAAAAGAAATCCTGCATTTGTGACAACATGGATGAGCTCTGAGGTCATCATACTAATAAAATTAGACATAGAAAAACAAACTCTGCTTAATCTCACTTTTATATACAATCTAAAAAAGTTGAAGTCATAGAAACAAAGTAGAATGACAGTTACCGGGGGAAAGGAGAAATGGGAAGATATTGGTCAAATGGTACAAACTTTCACTTAGAAGCTGAGTTAGTTCTGTGGATCTAATATACAGCATAGTGACTACAGTAAATAATAATACTGTACTGTATACTTGAGATTTTCTATGAAAATAGATCTTAAATAGTCTCACCACACAGACAGACAGACAGACACACATACACACACACAAATAGTAACTGAGTGAGGTGACAGATGTTAACAATTTGATTGTGGTAATCATTTAACTATATATATGTATCAAATCATCACATTATATATTTTAAATATACACAGATTGGTCAGTTATGCCTCACTAAAGATGAAAAAAGTTTTAAAAAAATTATATTGTTGGGGGCTGGGGTTGTGGTTCAGTGGGAGCGTACTTTGCCTAGTATGCATCAGGCACTGGGTTTGATTCTCAGCACCACAAACAAATAAATCAAATAAAGGTCCATTAACAACTACAAAATATTTTTAAAAATTACATTGTAATGTGGTTAGCTCAGTGATTGCAACATAGGCACTAAATAATGTGTACAGATTTTTTTTAGTAAAAAATCAGTGTATTAAGTCATATAAATAGACTAAAGGAGAAAAATCACATGATCCCTTTAATAAACATGAAAAAAAATTATTTGACAAAATTCAACACCCATTCATGATAAAGGAAAGGGAAAATAATCTTATAGAAAACTGGGAATAAATAAAGGATAACTTTCTTAAAATCTGGTAAAATTTTTTAAAAGTCTATAACTGACAATTGATGATAAAATATTGAATGCTTTCCCCCCAATATGGGGATAAGGATTCACAACAAGAAAAAAAAATCCAACTCTTACTACCACTATTCAACATTGTACTAGAAGGTCCTAGCTAACCTGATAGGGCAAGAAAAAGAAATAAAAGAATTACATATTGGAAAGAAAGAGATACGACTATTTTTGTTTATACGCAAAATGATTGTTTATATAGAAAAGGAATCTATATTCTAGAAAGCCACTTAATGGGTGAATTTAGTTAGCAAGGTTACAAGGTACAAGGTCCATGTATTAAAAATCAGTTGTATTTTCATATACTAGCAGCAGATGATTAAAAAAACAAAAATGTTAAATTCTGTTTATAGTAATATCAAAAACAAATTGAACAAAAGGTGTGCTAGATCTCTGCACTAAAAGTTATAAAACAATGTTGAGAAAAACTAAAGAATATATAAATAAATGGAGAGTTATACCATTTTCATGAATGGAAACACTCAATGTTAATGAGGATTAGTTCTCTCCAAATTGATCTACAGATTCAGTGATTTAGTACAATCATAATCAGAATTGGATTTTTTTTTTTTGGTAGAAACTGACTGGAAAATCATAGAACCTACAAATCCAAATAATAAGTTTGAAAGACTTCAATTACCTGATTTAGAGACTTCCTATTTTAAAGCTACAGTAATCAAGGTATTGTAGCACCAGCCTAGGGCTCAACAAATAAATCAATGACTTAGGAATGAGAGATCAGGAATAGGTCCACACATATACAGTCTTTTGATTTTAGACCAAGATGCTGAGAAAGGAAGTTTTTTTCAACAAATGGTGATATAACATCTAGCTATCTGTGTAGGAAAAAAAAAAAAAAAAAACCTTGACTCCTAACTCACATTAAACACAAAAATTAGAAATGTATCAAGGTAAAAGCAATAAATTTAAAGCTGCTATAAGAAAACAGGAGAATATTTTCACATTTGAAGGAAGACAAAGATTTCTTAGGATGAATAAAAATAACTGGTAAATTAGACTTCATTAAAATTCAAATATTCTCATCAAAATATACCATTAAGAAAATTAAGCCTCTCAGGAGGCTGAGGCAGGAGGAAAGCAGGTTCAAAGCCAGCCTCAGCAACTCAGTGAGACCCTGTCTCAAAAAAATAAATAAATAAATAAAATAAAATAAAAAGGGCTTGGTTTTTGGCTTAGTGGTTAAGCACCCCTGGGTTCAGTCCCCTGTACAGAAGGGAAGAGAAGGGAAGGGAAGGGAAGGGAAAGATGAAGAGGAAGAGAAAGAAAGGAAGGGAGTAAAGAAGGAAAGAAAGCAGGAAGAAAGGAAGGAGGGAAAGAAGGAAAATCTGGTCACAGTGGTGCAGGTCTGTAATCCCCAAAACTTGAGGATACTGATACAGGAGGATTGTAAATTCAAGACCAGCCTAGGTAACTTAGCAAGACTCTGTGTCAAAAATGAAAAGGGCTGGAGATGTAGCACCCCTGGTTTCAAACCCCAATACCAAAACTAAATAAATGAAGTTTAAAAAGAGAGAGAAAATGAATAGCCAAGTCACAAACTGAGAGAAAATATTAACAAAACTGCCGCAGTCTGGCGGCAGCAAAATAACCGGGGTGGGGTGGGGGGTGTGACGAGGAACTTGTGTAGATTGATACAGCAGGAGTTGGAGCCATTTATTGTACGACAGGAGGGGTATATATACATTCCACACAGCTTATCTTAATTAACATAAACTAGATACAGCAGTCAACCAATAAGGAATCTCCACACTTAATGGCTCACTGGCGCCACCTCACAAACCCTGGCAAAATGCCAGGTGCCATGCCGACTTGTTTACAGACCCTAACACAAAACAGTAGTTGTACTTGGCATTTATAAAGAACTACTACAACTCAATAATAAGGCAAATAAGCAAAGAGATATGAATAAAAAACTTCACAGAGGAAGATACACTAATGACTAATAGTATCTGCAAAAGTGCTGATCATCAAAAGTCATTATGGATATGAAATTAATACCAGGGCTGGGGATGTGGCTCAAGCAGTAGCGCGCTCGCCTGGCATGCGTGCGGCCCAGGTTCGATCCTCAGCACCACATACAAACAAAGATGTTGTGTCCGCCGAGAACTAAAAAAAAAATAAATAAATATTAAAAAATTCTCTCTCTCCCTCTCTCTCTCTCTCACTCTCTCTTTAAAAAAAAAAAAGTTTAAAAAAAAGAAATTAATACCAGAGATATTAATACCACTATATGTACCTCAGAATGGGTACAATTTAAAATACTGACAATAATAAATGTTGGTGAGGATATGGAGCAAATAGACTTCTCATGCACTTTTTTTTTGGTCAGAGGTACTGGGGATTGAACTCAGGGGTACTTGACCACTGAGCCACATCCCCAGCCCTATTTGTATTTTATTTAGAGACAGGGTCCCACTGAGTTGCTTAGTGCCTTGCTGTTGCAGAGGCTGGTTTTGAACTCGTGATCCTCCAGTCTCAGCCTCCCAAGCTGCTGGGATTACAGGTATGTGCCACCATGCCCAGCCCATGCACTTTTCATAAGACTGTAAAATGGAACTTTGGAAAATGTTCAAGTTATTTATCAAATCACAAAATTAAACATATACAGAACTATTCAACCCATCCATTCCATTCCTAAGTATTTACCTAAGTAGAAGGATCTCTCTCTCTCCATAAAATGACTACTCTGAGAATGTTCACTGCAGCTTTATTGACAGTTGCCAAAAGTTAAAAACAGCCCAACTGTCCATCCACAGGAGAATGGATCAACAAACTGTGTTTTAGTGGTCTGCTTTCACTTCTACCCACTCTGGTACATTATAAAATACCAGCTAGGTTGTTTCTCTTTTAAAAAAAAAAAATATTTTTTAGTTTTTGGTGGACACATCTTTATTTTATTTTTATGTGGTGGTGAGGATGGACCCCAGTGCCTCATGCATGCTAATGAGCCCCAGCCCCAACCCCTAGGTGGCCCCTTTTAAGTGTAAATTAGATCAGTCCTGTACTAACAGCCTGTTGTAACTCCTATAATGAACTTCTGTAATGAACTCCTGGCTCTTACCAAGTCTACAATGTTCTAAGGTCTAGTCTTTCTTACTTCATCTCCTTCCTCTGTCCCACAAGCCCTTCCTCTACACTTCAAAAATGATAAACTCATTCCATTTTTGGGGCTTTCACTTGCTATTCCTCTAGGTGGGTGTTCTGTATCCAGAATATTACAAGACTCTTTTCCATTATTGTGGCCTTAGCTAAAACAACCCTTCCCCAAACTCTCCCTGATTGTCCAAGTGAAGTAGCTTTCTTTTCCCCAAGTAATCTCTATCCCATTATGGTTTTTTACTTCTTTGTTGCACTTATCCTGATCTGAAACTACCTTTTGTTATTTACATACTTATTATCTTTCTTCCTACCACTCAGAAAAGGTATGGTATCTGGCACAGAGACTGTGTCTTGTTAACCAACATACATAACAATACCTAAAAAAATTCCTGACACATGGCAGGCACTCATAAACACATGTTGTCTAATTAGTTAATAGCATACTCAGGGTTGTCTTCCAATGTTAACACAATGTGGGGCCCAGCTATGTAATTTATCTTTCTTTTAAGACTTAATGTAGATATTTGAAGAACTCAAAGAATTTGTATTATATTACTTAATACCAAGTTCAAGTAATTCTCTCTGAGTGGACAAGGTCATGCTAGGTTTGCCTGTATTTGACTTACATATCAGGATTATGTCAGGTTCATGAGCTAAACTCTAGACTTTAATAAAGCATGAAAAATACAGCTAGTTTAAGAAGCAGGCAAAATTTATCAACTAGCATCTCAGAACATACCTATGGTGATGTTACCCGTCTCACTTTGTATTATTATATTACCTAAAAGAGAAAAAGAAAAAAAGAATTTTATTAGGGACAATCTAGAAAAAATTATGTTATATGGAATCCTAAAACATAGTGAAAAATCTACAATGCTATTTGATAACACTGTTATTTTTGTTGGCAATTTTCCTTAATATTGCAGATCCAGATTTAGTTATAGTTCTGAAATATCTAGCTTTAAGCATCTATGCAAATCTTTTGCCCCCACTCTCAACCCTTAAGCTTTTATAGAATAACTATAAAACAAACCACCACACTTCCTGACAACATGGAGAAAAATTATATTTCTAAAGCCTATAAATAAAAGATTACTCAAATGTGTTCACTACAAATTTTCATCCTAAACAAGTAACACTAAAATATCATATGGAAATAATAATTTTATTTATCAGGCCAGTTGCCACATCTGTTTATGAGATTAAAGTAGTTTTGAGGCCAAAACTTGAAGTGGTTTGGGATAGGAATAATGAATACACGGAGGCATAACTAACAAAAAAAGCTTCAAAGCCTTCTTTCTTTCAATGAAAATACATTTTCCAGGACAAGTGTAGGATACTACAACCATTCCTAGCCACTTTCCTCTAATACCAAAAATAGCAGGATTTTTCTTCAAAGGTGTGTACATATAAGTACTTCTGGAGTCAGAAGCTCAATTCCCTTAAGATGCAAGCAATAATATTACCTCTTCTGATATAATTCCAAAACTACATGAAAAAATAAATAATTTTGTCTCAGAATTAATTTAAAGTATTTCATTGCTTATGTTTTGTTAATACTAACACTTGTTGATATCTGGGGAAAAAACCAAAAAGGGCACTTGTTTCATGTACCTGACTGCAAAAATCTTTCCAGATTTCCAACATTCTATCATACTTCATGTGAGTATATGAACAGGGCTACCTTTGTTTAGGAATAAAAACATGATTTGTATGCATAAGTTCATAAAATATTTAAGACTCAGTAAGTTATAAGGCTGTGAAGATCTTGTTAAATGTGTTAAGTAAATATTACTTCATTGGTGTGTATACTCTCTTCCAATATTCAGACCTAATAAATATAGATTCATCATCACAGCAAAAGTGGGCAAAGATCATACTTTTAAGATGACTTCTAATCCCTGCCTCTGATATTCATGCTCTTGTATAATCACCAAGATTATACATGTAGGCTGGAACTTACTGATTTGCTTTTTAAAAAAGAGAATAGGGAAAAAGTGATGGGATGTCACTTCCAAGTTTAGGTAACAAGAAGATTCTGGCTTCTGTTTTTCTAGTCCTCTCTCAATCTTATTGAAGCCAGGTATCATGTTGTCTCTGCCCTATGGAAGAAGTCCACTTGGCAAGGAAATCAAAGGGTCCCCTAACCAATAGGATCTGAACTGAATCCTGCCAACAACCACATGAACAAGCACGGAAGCAGATTCTCCCCTGGTTGAACATTCAAATGAGCTCAGAGCCCTAGCTGATGACTTGATTACAAACTTGTGAGAGATCTTGAGGTAAAGGACCCAGCTAAGTCCCATCAAAATTCCTGACCCACCCAATAAGACATGTTTGTTGTTTTCAATAGCTATATTTTGGGGTTATTTGCTACAGAAGTAACTATCACAAATGTTGATGCCTGAAATAGGGTCCTGTCATAATAAACCTAAGCTTGGCAGTAGGCAGGGGTTAAAAGAGCATGATAGAGAAATACTAACTTGCCCTGAGCAAGTTTAGTAGAAATCTAGTATGCTTCCCTTGAGGGTTCAAAAGGAGTGAGAAAAATTGGTTTGAAAATGGAAGGAGTATTCTTGCTAAGCAGTGTAGAAACTTAGCAACATTGTCATCTTTGGTAATGTGGAAAGTACAGAATGTGCCTAATTAACTGAATGCTCTAGCTAAGAATATTTCTAAGCAAAGTCAAGTGTTGGAAGTGCTGTCTATTTATTTTTCCTTGCTGCATACAGGAAAATGCAAGAGAGAAAGTAAAACTAAAGGAAGGACTGTTAAACCAAAAAGGACCTGGACTTCAAAACAATTTAGCCTCTCAAGATGGCAATAGATACTAAAGTTAATAATGACTTGAAGTTGGAAGTTGGAATGGCTTCCAAACAAAATGTGAATCCAGGCTATTGCTAGAACATGGCCTAAAAAGGAAGTGAAGGGTGATTGTAAAATTTTTTGCTAAGACCCCAGAAAGATCAATGATGGTATCTCATACCCCTGATATTTAAAATTTTAAGTATTAATGAATAACTATGATGTAGTTTTATAGTCAACTTATCTAGTAAGTCCACTCACCCATTCACGAGGAAATGGAGCTTTATTGTCCTAAACTAGTCATCAATGAATCACTAAGAATGTACTATTTTTTTTAATGGAAATATGGTCTTTCTCAAAAATCCAATCATTAGGAGTTTTGATGATAGTAATAGGGTCTTAAGAAAATGATTCTTAGAACTAGAAAACAAAAGTTTATAAAGAATGAAGACTGATTCATATCATAGTGGAATCTATAGAGTTTCATACAATATCTCTCTTGAATATAGTTCTATTCAATAAAGACACAGTGGAACAAAAAAAATAAGGAATGGGCTAGGGTTGTGACTTAGTGGTAGAGTGCTTGCTTAGCACATGTGAAGCACTGGGTTTGATCCTCAATACCATATAAAGTATAAATAAACAAGATAAAGTTATTATGTCCATCTACAACTAAAAATATATAAAAAGAAATAAGGAATATTTGTAAATACAGTTAAAAAAGAATATTCCAAAATATTTCGTAAATACTAAATAAAACAGTAAATAAATAAATAAATACATAAATATATTTGCAAATCATACCAAATATTTAGAAAGTCTTTACCCTAAATAAATATTCCAAAGTCATCAGAATACACAAAATGAACTCTTGTCTCAAATATTTTGTGAGATGAGAATATTTAGAATTATATAAATAAAAAATTGGTATTATTGGCAAAATTTCCTATATTTTAGTCGCACCTATTTCACCTCCAATCACAGGATATAATAAATCACCTGAGAGAAGTAAAACCTTCTTTCCAATAAAGAAGATACTACATTATCTGTAATAGCTATGTATGCTTACACTACCCTCAAGTTATACAACTTTTCCACAAATCCTAGTATTTGAGAAAATATGCATTTTTTTTCTTACCTTGCAACCCTTAATTCTAGCATGATGGTGGTGGGGGGCGATAAGGAACAATCAATTTAAAAATAATGACAATGGTGTATTTTTTTTCAATTAAAAAAATATGATCATGGTTAAAGCAGCACATATGCTCTTAACAATCCAAACAGAGCAATCAATATCTTTAAAGGTTAAAATCTTTTGGGGGTTGGGAGGACAGGGAGTGGGGAGACTTAAGGAAGCTTTACTATCTGCAAGCCACAATGCTAAATGCCAAGAATGTGAGGACAAATAAAACATGATCCTTGATCTTGAGGAATTTATAATTAGGCAAAAATTTACAGGTCAATGAAAAGCCAGAGATAAGGTGAGGATGCTTCAGCTGGGGTTACTAAAAGATTACTTAATGAGATTTTTTTCAAAAGCTTGGAAAGCATTTTGGGCAGAATATAAAAACAGCATGACCATGATCACTATGATAGAAGGCTCTGATCAAGTATAAAACATCTTAAGAATGGTACAAGAAAAAGTGAGACTAATTCTGGAAGGTAAGGCATAGGGTCAGAAAAGGGAAGTCAGCAATCACTGAAGACAGTAGGAAAGGGTTTGAGTAAGAGAATGACATGTTTAATGTGTATTTCTAGTGAACTTCTGTAGCTACACTGAGGAGAATGGATTTGAAGAAGGTAAGATTGGAGGCAAAATTACTGCTAGATTCAAAGCAAGAGACTAGAAGAATGTGAGACAGAATTCCGAGTAGAAATCAGAAGAAAAAGCATGGGAGAGATTGAAGAAATATTTAGGTGAGTCATAAAACCTGCCTAAAAATTAGTGATTGATTAGATACAGGAGGTGAGAGAGAGGAATTTAGGATGACACAAATTTATAGCATGGGGATTTAGGTACATGGTGATATCAAAACCCGCATATGGAAATAAAGAAGGAGGACACTTTATGGATGGGGTTGGGAGGCAGGAAAGGGAGGAAAAGAGAAATTGAGAATGTTGAGTTTGAGATGCCTGTGAAGATCCAAAGGGCTATGTCCATCAGACAGATGGCTGTTTAAGTTGAAAGGGCTAGAAATAAAGATTTGAATCTTCAATATGCAAGCACAGTTAAGACTCAAAAATGCATCTGATGGCAAATGTTAAGAAAAAACAATGGACACATATGAAATCCTAGAGAATACCACATCAAAGAGGTAGAAAGAAAAAGAATGTGTAGACATTTGGAAAAGAGCAATTTACCTATAAGGTAAGACAGACGTGCCTATGCCCATTAAGTTTTGTGTGCTTCTCTCCTTCCTTCCTTCGAATCCAGCTACATTACATATCTCACTCAGCCTCTGCAGTTAGATAAAGTCATTTGAAAACATTCTTTCTAAAGGCATATGGGCAGAAGAAATGTATGCACTTGTAGGCCTGGTTGCTGAAACTTCCTGCATGATTCTACTATGCACTCTCTTCATGGAAGCCTTGGCAGCCACAAACTAAAGACGGCAACATCCCCTGTAGGGAAGGACCTGAGTCTCTGAGTGTCTCAAAGGGGCTGAGCTGAGGACAAATATTGATGGCAAATCAACATCCAACTGTGCTGAGAGATTAGAGGGAGCCCAGTAATGAGGAAAATGCTGACGAGAAATACATTTTATGCTTTCCTCCTCTCATGGAAGCCTTAGAAGTCATACAATTAAGATAATAGGATTTTTTTTTTTTTTTTTTTTTTTTTTTATGGAAGGAGTCTAGTTCCTGAATGCCACCATGGAACGCAGATTGAACACTAAGGAGCAATCACATTTTCAAATGTCATAAGGTAATAATAAATGGTCCTAAATCTCAAGGAGATTACAACATAGAACACAATGGAAGCAGTACCAGTGCTACTATCTGTCTGCCTTGAGGAAGCCCTTGAAGTGATGATGGAATTTTTAGTGCAATCAAAAAGTTCACCATGGCCATGTGCCCACATTTGTTTGAATACTATTTAAGAACATCTCCTTAGAAAGTCAAGAAGCTAGATTTAATCTTTGCTATTTTACTAATTAATTTATAGCAAATGGTAAATAATTAGACATTTCTAAGTTTGTTTTTCTCATATGTAAACAGCCAATTGTTCATTAAATGAGCAAGGCTGGCTGACAGCACTCATTACATGTTTGCTTTCAAACAACCACCCATCCACCTACTGGCACAAGGGCTCCAAAATCATCTACCAAATAAGATCTACCAAGATGATAGTTATTGCATCATATTTGTATAAAAATGGCTTTTGAAAAATCTACATGTTGGAGTTTTTCAGCTCAACCTGGAAAAAAATCAGTTTAAACTGTCCTTAGTAAAAGCAGCCAACAAAACTATATCCTGGGGGATGGGGTTGTGGCTCAGTGGTGGAGCACTTGCCTAGCACATGTGAGGCACTGGGTTCAATCCTTAGCACCACATAAGAATAAATAAACAAAATAAAAATATTGTGTCCATTTATAACGAAAAATATTTTTTAAAAATAATAAATCCTGAACAGGCAGGTCTTTAAACGCATATATTCTCAGTTTGTTTTCTGCTTATCAAGATGTTTAGAAGTAGCAATATATTCTGTAAAAACAAGTTTTAAGATTCCATGCCAGCTTATTTAAATATAGCCAATTTCTTTGCCTAATTTGTGTTCTTTAACCACCAGCAATTAGAACAAAGAACTCACTGAAATATATATTCAGAGTTCCAGCTTGAGAAGATCCTTGGAAGACATCCCCCATCCCCAGCCAAAACCCAGGAGCTGGAACACAGGGATTTACTTTCACCAGCCATGCCTCTAAATCTTCTCACCTACCAAGACAAGGGACTAAAAACCTTGCATGCTCCTCTGTATGCATCCCACCCCTGAATTCCAAACTTAAATAGTACTTTCATAGAATCCCTCGGATAAGAATGAAAAGTGAGGTGACATGGAAGAGAGAGCAATAAATTTAGACTTGTCTGAAGGATGATTTAAAAAATAATTGAGGCCTAGGATATGACTAAGAAATGACTTGTATATACGGAAAAAATAAAAAAACAGAGTGAAGACCAAGGACTAGATGAGGAAAGCAAGGATGAACAACATGGAAGCTTTTCTAAGATTGCAATTGGATTACATTTTTCCTTCCCTTACTCCTGCTCACTTCTACACTAGTATTACAAAAGAGCTATGAGAAACAGTTAAATGATTGCTTTTCATTGAGGCAGGGTGACAATGGATGGCAATTGGAGATAAGGTGGGAGGTAGTATCCCAATGGGGACAGTAGTAACTGAGAAAACAAAAAAGGACATCCAGTCCTTCCACTAGACACTGAGTTCTTTGAGGACTCAGATACCATCTCTTGCTCTATTTTCCATCCCTGGTGCTAGGAAATTCAGCACACAGTAGATGGTCAATAAATGTGCTGAATGAAGAAACAGATTTAACTATAGCAGAGGCTGTGATTGATTATGCAGAGCCCCCTTCACACCGGAAGGCTTATTTTCCTAGCTGTTGGGAGTATTGTAGGCAGATATCCCTTGCTGTCAGTCCTCTCTGGGAACTGCCTCAGCCAAAAAGAGCCATCTTGGCCCAAGATCATACCCCTTCCCGGGGCAGCTAGTATCTAATGACTGGGGATATAGAAGTCCAGTTCCCCTCATTCCAACTTCAGACAACTCTAAGGGACAACCCCAGCGTCAGAGCTCCCTCTTAGGGTTGTTGAAACTGTGTTATAGTCCAACTTCTCTCATGGAAACTGGGGTCCCTTCCTTTACAGGTATTGGTTTCAACAGCTCTCCCTAGTAAATGTGCTATACTCTAATTCCCATCTCAGAGTGCTTTCAAGGAACCCCAACGTGAAACAACAGTCCAAAAGAAGACCTAGATTTAAACCACAATATGGAAATGTATTTGACTTAATATTAAAGATCAGTAAATATTAAAAGGCTTTACAAAAGCTAAAGAATGATCTCTTATCCCTAAAAATGTTTACATATCAGCTATGTTGTGATCAACAGACCTCAAAAGACTGCCTCAAAAAAGTATACCTGTTTTATTATCATGTACTCAGTGATAAACCACCCCAATTTCAGTTTTCATCCATCTTAAAGCAAGAAATCACATATCAATGCATTTAATGTAAACGTGGTATAAAGCAGTGCTGAGAATAGAACAGTTTTTCCTTTGGATGTTAAACAACATCTGATTTGATAAGGAATTGTTTTTCACTAAAAGCTACTCAGTATATTAGGTGCAGTGTTTTAATTATAATTAACAAATAAATGTAATTCTTATATAAGTTATTTTAAAAATATGAAGCTACAAATTGCCAGAACTACCTAATGTGCAACTGAATAAAAAGTAAATGAGTAAGTAAACAAAACCATTTGTTTTATCTAAGGCTCCACTTGTGCTCAAGCTATTTTGGGCTAAAATAATATTTTAACCTTGCAAGAATGGTTGAGGCTTAGTCATTAAATTAGGCTCAAGGCTCAAGAATTATTCCAAGTATATAAATACTCTTCTTTTAGTTTTATTTTCTAAAACTGAAAATACTACTTATCTGTTTGCCTCACAGCATGACTTGCCCTAACCATGGTTTCTATTACCACCTAATAACTTATACTCATTAAAATCTGAGGAGTTATCCAGCATATATAGCTACCAATATTCAGTTTTAGTACAGAAGTGAAATTAGTAGACCATATATAGAAAAGGTTCAAGCCTACTCTAGATAGGGCAAAGGGTTGGAACAAGAAGGGAGGGGGCATGGGGGTAGGAAGATGGTGGAATGACATGGACATCATTACCCTAAGTACATGTATGAAGACATAAATGGTGTGACTCTACTTTGTGTGCAACCAGAGATATGAAAAATTGTGCTCTATATGTGTAATATGAACTTTAATACATTCTATTGTCATATATAACAAATTAGAATAAAAAAAAAGGTTCAAGTCTAAACTTCCTGGAATACGGCCCAAAAGGCATTTAGCAGATATGTATATATTGTACTCTGAGATAAATGATTCTTTATTAAATATTTTAGTCATAGATGAACACAATATCTTTTTTTTTTATTATTTTTATGTCGTGCTAAGGATCGAACCCAGTGCCTCACATATGCTACCCCTGAGTCACAACCCCAGCCCCAGATAAATGATTCTTAATTCTACCTGTATATATTTTGGAAAACACATCTGGATTTAAATCTTCTGCTCTGTGGAAATTTAAGGCAGGCTGAGTGACACTGAACACTATCATATCCTTTGCCATATTACTTCACCATTACATTCTATCATTTTCTTTCAATAATACAAATGTTGACTAAATAATAGTGCTTGTCTGTAGAGATATGTTTTAGAAATTGAGAGAGGATACTCAAAGAAAACTGGAAATGGGGGGATGCTGAGAGGACTTGATATCAGTAAAAATGCCCATAAAGCATTTAACCAAAATCAGTATCTCTGGGTTCCTATAATTAGATTCTACCCAAATGTTTCATGAACTTTTAGCTTTCCAATTATAACTAAAAGGAATCACTCAAAACCCATCTTTATTTAATACTGCTTATATTTCATCTGCATACATATCTTTGTTACTCATTTTCTGTTATAAGGCTATTCATTAAAAATCAGAGTAGCTTCATATATAACAGCATAATCTTCAATTTCTTGTCAAAATAACATTAAGCTAGGTTATGAGTCATTGTATTTTTAAGAGATGGCTAGTCTGCAATTAATTAGAAGGCCAGTTTCCTAACCTTCTTGAACTACAGACCCTCATCTCTTAAAATTTAAGCTATGTGTAAAGTCTAATATATGGTAGATCTTTGTCAGCTTACCATGAACACTTCCTAATGCAATATCCCCAGCAGCAGAAGACAGAAATGATGATTCTGTATAAAGATACTTGGCTTTCAGCAAACCATCTTCAGTAGATATATTAACAGAACTTCCCTGCAGTTTATCTATGGTCACAGTCTATTAAGAGAAAGACTCATCAGTTTATCATAAAACAAAAACTGGAAAAAACTAAAATGATACATATGAAATTAGTAGGCAACTACATAAAAAGTTACTACCTACTTCACAATAACTTAATTCTGATTTTTTAAATCTAATTACAATATTGAAACATGCACTCTATGTAGAATGTGGAATAGACCCACTATATATCCCTCCACTTATATAGATCTTTCATTTTTCTTTTAATTATGTTTTATATTTTATATGTAAAGTTCTTCTTCTTTTGTTATACTTAGTCCTATTACAGTTTTAAAATGTTTTTGTTAGTGCATTATAGTCATATATAATATTGGGATTCATTTTGACAATCACACATGCATAGAATATAATTTTCTCCACTCAATCTCCCAGTACTTCCTCTTTCTTTTTCTTCCACTCTCCCTCTGTTCCGCTTCCTCTATATCTTTGGGTCTTCCCTCTATTTATTGTTTTTAAAAAATTGTGTTTTATAGCTATCCATAAAGGTGAAATTCACTGTAGGACCTTCATACATGTATATAGCATAATTTGGCCAATTTCATTCCACAGTTCCTTCATTTAAGTGTTACTATACAAGGTACATTTTAATATTTCATTTTATCTTAATTGACTTTTGTATTTGACCTTAATCCAGCAACCACAATAAACTCACTAATTCTAGTAATTTATCTGTATTAAGAAAAAAACTTGGGCTGAGGTCATAGTTCAGTGGTACAGTGCTTGCCTAGCACATGTGAGGCACTGGGTTCAATTCTCAGCACCACATATAAAAAAAATAAAATAAAGGCCATTGACAACTAAAACATATTTTTAAAAAACTTCTAGATGCATAATTAGGTTATCTACAAGTAATAGCTTCATTTCCAATCCTTATATTAATACTTTTCCCCCTGCTTTTTCACTCTTTTTCTTGCCTTACCACCTGGCTCTGGTCTCCACTTCTACAGCTAAAAGATGTAAGCAGCCACCTTTATCTTATTCTTGTTCTCAGAGTAAAAGCTTATAGCATTTCAGCATTGAGCACATTTGTTATGGATGTCTCTTAGATATTTTTATCAAATCATAAACAGAGTCTGAATTTTATCATATACTATAATCATATTTAAGCATGATTCTATAAAGTTATCACGATTTCTCTCCTTTAGTGTGTTAATGTAGTGAATACACTAATATTTCTACAACTTTTCCACTTTACATTTCCAGTGTACAACATGGGAGAAATTATATATTTGTCCTTAAATTTCCCTATCAAAATTCAGTATGTATTTGTGTCTCAAATATCGCTTACAACGTAAAATGAAGCTATCCAGTTAAGGATTCCAAATCATCTTTATGTATTTTAAACAAATGTAAGTGTTAATGTAAAACTGTTGACATAAAAACTGAATCACCAGGAAGGTTTCTCAGTTTTGTCCAGGGACAACTTCAAGCCATACACTGGGGTGTTGAAAGAAATAGCATCACTGTTTTCCATACATAGGCATTAGTGCCATCAATCCTAAATGAGTCCTTCAAAATTAAGACTTTAAAATGTTATCTAACAAAAATGGAGTTTCGAGAAATTTTACTGTAAATTGTGCTGTCCTAAATTTAATTGTTCTAGTTAGTATCTGATACAGTGCATTATATATGGCCCTCTGGGAAAATAAGAAGAAAAGTAAAAGTGCAAAAAGAGAAAGAAAAGTATGTAGAGGTCTTACAGGAGATAAATTAGAATTACTTTCTCTTCTGGATTTAAAGTATATAACTTTCTTTTCTAAAGGGCAGTTATTAAGTATACAATATAGCCCTACTTGCTTCTTAACTACTACAGTTTCTTTTTATTTAATTATGGATTGAGAGGAATTTTTCTTTAAATCTAATTTCAATAAGTCTGTCAAAGATAGATAGATATTTTACCTATAACCAAATTTGTGAGAATACAAATTTTTGACTTCCTTGGTCTTATAGTAAAGGTATAAAACTCCTGAAAAATATTATCCTTTAAAGGCTCTTCATGAAAGGTACTTTATGCTCAAATGCTCTATTTGAAAAATTGCTTTATGAATAAAATTCTCCAATTATTTCCATAAAGCAGGCAAAAAGTCTGGCTTTTTATAGATAATGAGGCCATTTTAGAAAACACCAAAAGATAAATATTGAAAAGAAATTTGAAACTTAATTAAATTTGCAAAGGAACACTTATGATTTAGACTTTCTCAACAACCAAATAAAGCTTTCAAGACTTCTTGAAAGTATCTGGAAAATGCCAAAGATTTATATTGTTCAGTAGACACTAAATATTATACTTTCTAGGAAGCTAGAAAAAATATTCTGCCCTATGAAATCAAGTGAAACCATAACAACTCCCCTTACAATATTAACAAGGCATTCCACAAAATTGCAAAGAAATTCAAAATTCTCAGAGGGCCATATATAATGCACTATATCAGACACTAACTAGAACAATTAAATTTAGGACAGCACAATTTACAGTAAAATATTGAGGCTCTGACTTACAGTTATGAAATGTTAATGGAAAGAAGTGTCACAAATAGGTTTTCTACACTGTTGAGTTTGCTTTTTATTGAAAATACCTATTTAAAAACAGAATCAACAGCAGATCCAAAAACCAATGCCTTCCTGACAAAGGTATTGTTATAAATTAATTTTCTTTTCTATATAAGAAGGAAATTTTTTCCTAAGTTTAGATAGTATACATATATACTATATAGTTATTACAAATAAATTATAAGGAAGTACTGTGGCTTTGTAGCTCAGACTAAGAAAGAAAGGAAACTGACAACTATGTCACCAACTCACCCAATAGTCAGCTGAAATTGATTTTTATATTCTCAGTTGTTATAAAACTAAATTTAGGACACTAAAATAAATGATATAATTTTAACATGGCAATGTAATGATGCTACTGTTTATAAAGCTCATTTAACTTTCACAATCTTATTGAGTATGAAAAGCAAATACTACCATCCTTGTTTTCTGAATAATAAAATGGAGGCTCAGAGAAATAAAGTGATAGATCTAGGACTGGTCAAGTAATTGTTCTTGCAATTCCTTCATCTTTATCACTAACATGGCAAGCATTATGTTAGAGTTAGCTATGTGTTAGACATTAAGTACTCTACCTGGATTAGCTCAATCCTCATAACAACCCACTGAATTAAATCCATTAGAAACTTGTCTAAGGATACAGAGGCTGGACCAGGATTCAAATATTTGGTTCTCAATTTTGTGCTCTTAACCAATTCCCTATGCTGCCTTTCAAATTTCCAAGACACATATGTATGAAAGTTGTATATTAAAAGTTAATGAATTTCTTATTTACTTTATATGTTCTTTTTAAAAAACTGCTGGCTTAGGAATATGCTTTATAAATTAACACTATATATAATAAAAATAGAAGAAAATCTGGACTGAATCTTTGGGTCTACAAAAGTCAATCAGGCAGGAAGCAAAATAGTGTAATAGGAAGTAGGAATAAATAAATATTCAATAAACCATGAAAGTTGGAGCAAATAACTAACTAATGAATGGCCAAATTATTCAAAATAGCAAATAAATGAGAGCTGATTTAAACATTGATACTTTTATTTGAATATAAATATGTAATATTCTGGTAGCTCAAATATCATTTCAAGTAACATTAGCCATCAATTAAAGGAATGAACTTGAAGGAGCTGCAAAGTTGTCCAATTTCCCTCTTTCATATCTAAACCACAGAAATCTGACTAAATGCCATCTAAAAAGGGCTGTCATCAAGGGCCACAATGTCTTTCAGAACTTTCCTAGTTTAATTTAAAAGGCAGTTGGGTACACTCAAATATTTGGATTTAAACAGGCTCCCACAAGTCATAAGAGAAAGGTGATTGAAAATAACAACAGAAAGAGTCCCATACTCCACTTTGTTTAATTACACCAGCAACACTTACCCTACAAGATATGCTCACAATTACTCCCCTCCAACTATGGAAGAATAAAGCTGGCTATGAAATTTAGCAAATTTATAACAAAAAATCATTGCAAATTGTAAAAGTCAGAAACAAGAGGAGACCAAGGTTGTTGTTTTTTTTTTTTTTAAACATCTCATCATTAGCCCAATGTTTTATTTATTTATTTATTTTTAAATGTTTTATTCTAATTTGTTATATATGACAATAGAATGCATTACAATTCCTATTACACATATATAACACAATTTTTCATATCTCTGGTTGTATACAAAGTATATTCACAACATTCGTGTCTTCATACATGTGCTTTGGGTAATGATGTCCATCTCATTCCACAATCTTTTTTATACCCCTTGCCCACTCCCTTCCTCTCCCTCCCCTTTGTCCTATCTAGAGTTCCTCTAATATTCCCGTGCTCCCCCTCCCAACCCCACTATGAATCAGCCTCCTTATCTCAGAGAAAACATTCAGCTATTTATTTATTTTTATGTGGTGCTGAGGATCAAACCCAGTGCCTCACATGTGCTAAGCAAGATCCACCACTAAGCCACAATCCCAGCCCAAGACCAAGGGTTTTCAAAAAAATTTAAAACATTGCTAGTCATATTTTTAAAAGGTGACAACTTATACTTCCAAAATTAGACCTGAGCTCTTAATACTAAATCACAGGAAACAATAAGAAAATTAATTTAAAATACAATCTTCCTACAAAAAAAAAAACTTTTGGAAGGCAGTAAAGCTATCTAATGATGCCACCTTGTGGAAAATAATGAAGAAAATTGAGTTTCAAACCTTGTCCTTCAGTTGGTCTAATGGCAAAGTAAACAGGTCTTGGAAAGTACCACACACAAGCAAACAAGAAAAACCCAATCCAGATACTAATAGTATGAAATATTTTAATCAATGATCATCAATTAAAAATCTCTTCAGAATTAAAGTGTAAGTATTTAAGTTTTTACTGATTACAAATAAGGAATTAAATAACTGTCAAAAGTATTAAATCACAAACTAAATTTTAAATTGCACAATATTTAATCACCTCAATTCCAAACTTGAATTTGAAACAAAATGTATTAAAAACGCAATATCGGGCTGGGATGGTGGCCCAGTGGTAGAGTGCTCGCCTAGCATGCATGAGGCACTGGGTTCGATCCTTGGCGCCACATAAAAACAAACTAATGTATACACCTAAAACTAACGATAAATAAATATTTAAAAACAAACAAACAAAAAAAAACGCAATATCACAGCACAAATCCTACAGAAGCTACCCATTTTGTGAGCTCACTGGAAGCAATATTGCAATTGTGAAAAAAAGAAAATTTCAATCTTACACTTTTATTTGATGCATGAATATCTATATTTCCATAAACTGTTCCCAGAGAGATCACTCTGCCTCCTTTTGTTTTAACATGTAGTTTTTGACCCTGAAAGATAAATATAAAAATACACATACAGAAAAAGAATGTTTGATTTACACTAATGAAACATTTCTTTTTTATTAATAATAAAGAAGCAAAAGAATCAAGAAATGAAATAGAAATTCATTGTTTGGAATCATAATATCAACTGGAAGAAAATGTTAGCTGCTGTTAAAGAGATTAAACACCTGTACTCATAGGGAAAAAGAAGAGATGTAAATATTCCAGTAGCCTCACTGAAGAAGGGTTTGGGAGTTGAAGATCACTGTGACCAGCAAGCAAAACACCACTGAAGAAGATGACCACATTAATCATTGTTAATATTCATCATTATTATTAATAGTTATCACTTACTTGGCAGTTTTTCAGTACTCCAAACAACTTTACTTATTTTATATGAACTTTATCATTTGATCCTCACAATAAGAGAGATGGGTATTTTTCCCATTCTATAGGGGAAGAAAATCAAAACTCAGAAAGCATGAGACAAGAATGGTGGTACACACCTCAGCTACTGGGGAGGCTGAGGCAGAAGGATTGCAAGTTTAAGGCCAGCCTGGGCAACTCAACCAGTCCCTGTCCCAAAATAAGGCCTGGGGGTGTAGCTCAGGAGGAGAGCACTTTCCTAGCATGTGCAAGGCTCTGAATGTACAAGGCTCTGTGTTTGATCCCCAGTGCTGGGAAACAAACAAACATAAACTTTATCAGGGTGACAAAATCTAACTTAAATTAGAATCCAGCTCTATATGATTCCAAAGCCCATACTCTGGAGAAGGGCAGATTACACCTATGGTAACAGGCTATTGTTAAACCTTACAGAATAACACACAGCAGAAACTGAAACCGAGTGAAAAATGCCTCCAAGCACAAATAAAACAGTCACAAGCCAGTTCTCTCTTTCTCTCTCTCTCTCTCTCTCTCATGCACATGCACACAAAAATTGTGTGTACTTTGATTCACACTTGGCAACTGTGGCAAACACTACCATTAGTCTACCCAAATCTCCCCTGCCCCCCAAGTAAAAACAGTGTTGCTGGACCCATGATAAGACCATTTTTCAGCTCCCCTTTCCTCTTAGGTGTTGCTAAGTTTTTGCCAACAGAATATAAGCAGAAAAGCTATGTGTCATTTCTAGGCCAGTGTTTTTAGAAGAACAGGTGTGCCTTCTCTGTCCTCATCCTCTTCCAACAGATGAGTGCAGTTTACAAGCCTCAGAGAGAGATGGCGGAGCCAGAAGATAATAGAATCATTGAATGGAAGAGAGCCCCTCCACCTCAGCACACTTGGGCACAAGTGAGAAATTAAAATTGTACCTGAGCTAATAGATGTTTGGTCTATTTTTTAGAGTAATTTACTTTCCCTGAACTACTACATGCCTTCAGTTCTGCTATAATGCCTCAGCCTCATGCGCTGCTGGGACTATAGGCACGCACCACAACATCTGGCAGATATTCTTAATTCTTTATGTTTGTACAACTAAATTTATTTAAAATAGTTCATATGCAAATAAAGATGGATAAAAAACTGATGTAAAAATAAAAATTCATCAACTTAATCACCCTAAAAATTGTTTTAGATCTAAAAAGGAAAAAGTTTTATAATTATAAAGCAAAGATGACTGAGTTCACTTCAATAAAATTACCTTCAATCAAAGTTTGCAAAGGTATTGCATTTTGATTATGCAAGTGCTAGAATATAACATTACTAGGAATAATGACAAGTTACGTATCAGAGATTTATTGCAAATCATTTACAGTTAAGATTGATCTAATTTTAAGAAAATAAAATATAAAAATGTTAATTATAAAACAAGATGAATCATCTGTTTTGCATACATAGTTATTAGTCTCTAAGTAAAACAGCTACCTGGTACATTAAAAACATGATTAAAGTAACCTAATATTTCAAGCACATTTCTAGTGCATAAAAAGGCTATTCCTTACTTTTTAATAAACAGAAGAAAACAACTGTGAAGACTAAATAACTTCATAAAGATCTCAGAATACTAAGAATATATACTCTTGAGTTTCACTGTATGCTTTGAAATGAGATCTCAAAGAAATATGAGGTAAAACCTTCAAAGCTGCTACAACATCTGTACTTTCAAAAGAGAACAGCTGTCAAGGCATAATGTTTGCAAAGAATTTCTGACTGATGAATAAATTATAATATTCTGAAAAAAAGAATCATCTCTTTAGTTTGATACTAGAGTTCACAGTTCAAGGTTTATTTGTTTTTGAACTGAAACAGAACTAGGAAAATGCTTATACCTTAACAGACTGTAAGATGCTGGTTCCCTGTTCAGTTTCAATTTTGCAATTATCACACTGAATATTTTGGACTTTTACACAGCCAGACCCTGATGACTTGATATTCAAATCTAGAAGTTAAAAAAAAAAAAAAGAAGAAGAAGAAGAAAACAAGTTAGTCTTAGTGGTTCCAAAGCATTTTAGCACTCCCTAGAAATTCAGCGTCTCAATTATGTCCAGAATATTACAAAATCCTGGGACAGAATCTTTTTAACAGTCTCTCTCTAAAGGTGGTAACAGGATCAAATGTAATGACCTTTCTGCCAGTATTTAGAAATAATTTCTTCTGTTGGCCTCTATCATCTAAAAAGAGGAAGTAACACAGATGGGAATTAAAGGAGGCAAGTGACTGCAGTTCTTGTAGTTACTCATGTTTCATATGGAAGATCACAGAAGCCTCTTAGCCCTGAGAAATACCCCCAATATACATATGAATGAATAATACAGTGAGTTAATGAGTCAATATCATAAGTCAGTTAAGTCAGTCAGCCTAGTCTCTCTTATATTCAGGAAGATTTAAAGATTCTTCTCTAACCATCTCCCCCAAATTACAGGAGCAGCATGAATTAGTACATAAGACTATGATTTAGGTTTCAAATCCTAACTCGAACCTTTCAAGCCTTAAAAACTGAGAATATTGCCATGAAGATACATCACAAAGTACTTGAAATAATTTTTTAAAATGAGAATCACTTTGAAAAATTTAATTAAACAGTATTAAAACTATAAGATTGTGGATAAATAAGAGTGTTATGTGAAGAAAGTTTAGAAAATAAGGAATCACAGGTACCATCTTTGTCAATTTAAGGCATAACCTTAGGTATCTCTGTATAAAAATAAAATAATTAAGAACACTGATGTTTAATACTTAATTTACATAAATATTGATGATTTTCCTTAATGTAGACTGTAGAAGTAAACACTATGTTCCTCCAAACACAAACTATTGGGGGCTAATGCCACAATTTCAATAGTTACAGCACCAAAACAGTTTCAGAGCAATCTCTGTAAAGGCTTAAAATAACACCAATATTTTGGCTGAGATTAAGTGAGAATATATAAAAAGATAATTTTATGACACATAAACATGGATGCAAATATAACTATAAAATTTATTTCCCAGTAATGTTACAACATATACCTGGATCTGAGGCAGCACAGGTTAATATGTAGTGAAGAGAAAGATTCTAAAGATAATATTATGGTTTGGATTTAAAATGTCCCCCAAAGACTTATGTATTAAAGAATTGGCTCCCAGCTTGTGGTAACTGGTAGGTAGTGAAAAACTAGGAGTAGTACCTAGATGAAGGAAGAAGGTCACTGGGGGTGTGCCTGTGAAGGGTTTATCTTGTCCCCACCCTTTTCTTTCTGTGTGTACTTCCTGGCCATGATGAGGTGAGCAGCTTGGTTTCCACCATGCCTTTCCCTGCCATAATGTTCTGCCTCACCACAAGGCCACAGCAATGGGGCCAACTGACCATGGACTGAAATCTCTGAAACCATTACCAAAGTAAATCTTTCCTCCTTTCTTTCTTTCAGTTATTTTGTTACAGTGACAGAAAGATGACTGACACAGATACACTGCATTTGATAGGTAGGTGGAGAAATTAAAGCTAGACAGTGATAGTAGTGCTGCTTTCATCCATTCACTGAAATAGGTAATAGACAAAGTAAAGGAACAGTATGAAGAAAACCAAGTTATAGAGATTTGAAGGAACTGGGGAATAGATATGGAAACAGTAACTTAAAAGCAGAGCTCTGACACTACAAAGAGTCAGCAACAAATAATGAAGTTTGGAATCATCAACAAAGGTAGTATCTATTTTCATCTGTGCTGCCATAAATTTTGCTTAGCTGTACTTAAACACTCAGTCTTATTTGTACTATGGGCAAATCTCCCCCAGCACCTTCCAGATATTTTTAGAGGGTCTCTTAGTCATCTAGGCTGGTTAAAATAAATTCAGAAGCCAAGTGGATGGGTGGATTCTGATCAGTTCAAATTCCAACTCTACCACTTTATATCTAAGAGAAAGAAGACATTTCTTAAATACACCCCAACCCCCCAACCAGAATGTAAGTTTCTCAAATCCATGAAATGTTTCTTATGATTTATGTTTCACAATAAATATTTACTTTATGATACTCCCTTTATTTCAGTTTCCTCATCTGGAATGGTGACAATAACATCATCTACTTTACAAAGAGGATTAGAAAAGATTATTTTAGAAATGATGATTGTTATTATTATGATCACCATCAATATCATCCTTCAATCTCTGGAAGAAAGAGAGCCTGTGGAGCCCTTTCTGGTGTCTTGATTTAAGAAATAACACAACCCAAACACCTAGGAAATATATGATGCAGGCATTATTTCTGAAGTTTCTCAGGCAATCTTACTATGTGTTTTTCTTTAAAGCTTGCTACTCCTGGAGAACTTTGGCCAAAAAGAATCAGAGATATCAGTAAGAAGCTAGGTGCCTCTCTGAAACCAGATACTTGCTCCAGGTTAGGTATGGAACAGCCCATAGATAAGATGTTGTGTGGGGACCGCAAGGAGAGAAGGAAAAGCAAGGGGAAAGATAGATGGGTTGCCATACCATTGAGTGGATTATCAATAAACCTCAACCCCCAAAAAGTAAAACAGTTTGTTAATGACAATGTGACAAACGAAAACATATGGGTCTCCACAAATATTATTTGGGATTATTCCAAAACATGTTTGCATTCTATTTATTTATTTATTACTTCATTAGGAACCTAATTCTTAAATACTTCTCAGAACTCAGTAGTGCAGAAGAAAAGGGGCCAACTGTAAATTAGGTTAGAAAGTCAAGTTCAAAGAGGCAAATGCACGTTCGCCTAACTTGGTCTAATTTAAGAAGGTCACTGTGTTTGTGCTCTGGGGCCCAAACTTCACTTGCCAAAGTTCAGGGGTGCGTTCACCTCCACCGACGCCTGGGGGTCCACGGTGTCAGACACGATGGCCACCTCCTGCAGGGCCTCGTCGTACTTCACCTGCAGGTCATTCAGGCCCAGTGATCCGCCCTCCACGCCGCACACCGCGACCAGCAGGCGGTTGCCATCGGGGTAGGTGAGGGGGTCCAGGGGCCTCACAGACAGGTGGCAAGGGAGCCGCACCCGCAGCCGACCAAATGGGCTAACCAGCAGCGTCCACTCCTTCAGAGTCCGGCGCGCTGGGCCAGGCAGAGAGGCCTCTGGTTCGGATCCCAGCCGCCGCTCGCCACCAGCTGAGCAGTACGGCCTGGCCTGGCAGGCCCTTAGAGTCCAGAGCCCAGCACCGGCCCACACTCGGAGCTGACCAAGCGTGAGGCAGCCAAGTCCCCAGCCAGAGCTGGAGGCGAACATGACTCGCCCCTCTCTCGCCCTCCCTAGGAACACCTCAACCACACCCGCGGCGTCCCTTTCTAGGGCCAATCGACTTAAGCACCGAGCTGCTACTAGTCAAAAAGGAGGATTTGCTGAAGCTAGAGCGAGCCCATTCACTTAACTAGGCGATTTAAATCTCAGTGGCAGGGCAATGGTAAACCGGAATTTGAAAGCTGTAAATACAAATTTCAGAGGCGCACTCCTAGCTTACTTCCGCCCCTTTCGCGAAGGCCAACGGGATAGGTAGTTCTGAAAAAGCAAGACGTCAAGACGTTCTGGCGGTTTAAAAATTACATATCCCAGGAGGCAATGCGTGGGAGAGTAAGGGTCTTGTGCTGGAGTGTTGGCCTCTTCTGAGAACGGCGCGCGGCCTGTAAGTCAAACCCATTGGCCATTGGAGGGATGAGCGGGGTCGTGGGGAGGGGGGTAAATCTACATGAGAATCCTGCTGGCCAATGGAAAGAGTGGGAGGGGTAAGGGTAAAGCTGCGTGGTCACCTTGGAGACCAAGGACGCGACTTCTCCTCAGGAGAGGGCGGAGCTTTGGAGTGAGATCCAGGAGGTCAAACCCCCAAAAGAAAACTAGGAGCCTATATAAGGATCAGGACCAAGGGAAGGGGTAAGAAACTGCTCTTTCTAAAAGACGAGAATTAGGTGCAAAATAGAAGTCCCTTCTGGGTGGCTAAACCAAGCTTCGCTAAACTAGTTTGTGTGTGTGGAGGCGGGGGGGGGGGGGGGGGGGGCGCGGGGTCCCCCTGGGATGGAGAATCCTGTGTCAAGAAATAGAGTAACATTGGTGCCTTTTAAGGAAACTCCTTCTTCTGTGGCGAAGAGAGTATAGGACTAGCGTTAGAGTCCTGGCTCTCCCCGATGTAAGTGACCTTACTCCAATCATTGGATATCTTTGGGGTTCAAATAAAATGCTCGCTTTTCAAATAAGGACAATGATATCTTCCTTGCCTTACTTCAGAGGATCAAATGAGATAAAGGATGGTAATAGTGCACAGTCTACAAATTGCAATGTAAGGTTCTGTATTTTTATTTTAGGGACAACATTGATTCTAACTTACCAAGACAGTTTTGAGAGATCAGAACTTATTTTGAGAACAGCATTGCTCTCTTGGATTATAAATGATCCTCAGTTTGAGGTCTAAAATAAAATACTAAAAAGGAGAGGGTCAACCAGATTCGGTGGAAAAAGCATAAATCTAGGGGTCATATTATTTTCCTGGTTCTGCCATTGGTTTATCTGCATCACATGGTCCTGTTTCTTCTATGTTAAGGTAAAGATGGATTGTACTAAGTGACTCTATAAGGTCTCTCTTGCTTTTCTATTTTATTATTTTATGAAGGAAAAAAGAAAAAAAAAGAGGGTGGGGGGTGAGAGACTTATTTCCTTTTTATCTGCCTGATCTCTCTTCTTTCTCTGCCTCTCTCCTTCTACAAATCATCCCATAAATTCCTTAGTCAAGACACCAACAAACAATAAAGTTTAATGAAACACAAGTGCTGAAAATGAATGCTTTCAAAAATTGTAGCCCTTACCCAAGTGCAATGACCAGAGTTCTTGGGAGCTATGGTGGTAGAGTGGAAAGAGAGAGTGGATTAAAGTTCTCCTGAGTCCTAGTTACAGGTTCTTTGCTGGTAACACCTTTTTAAAAATTCAATGCTTTCTTAAGTTTCCCTTTTCTTCTGTCCTTAGTCCTTCCTCCCTCCATATTGTTCATTTAATGAAGACTCATGATAGGTGCTAGCTTTTAGGTTCTGCAAAGGCCCACAGAATGAATAATTTGGTCATAATTATTCAGATTAATCTTCAAAGTATCTTTTTATGAAAACCAACAGGCAAATCCATTGATTTCAAGTTTCAAATTTTTCAAAAGAAAATTTAAAAAGGAATTGGATTAAACAAGTTGAGAATGCACTCAAATTTGCTGCAGAAGTGCTAGATATTTTTAGATGAAATATGAATCCTTAATAAGTAATTACTTATATGGTTATTTTTCCTTTTTGGAGACAAACTAAGTTAATGGAATTGGCAGTTGAGCCATAATTGTCTATGTAATGAAGTAATTTCACTATTTTGAAATAAAGTTAATAAAATAGAGAATACTTCATGATTATGTGAATTTGGAAAATTATTGATATTAAGATTTATGTAAAACAGCCTAATGAGTATGAAATCTGTCTGTATGTCAGGAGTGACTAATAAAGAATGTACTTTCCATCTGTATGACATTATAGTTTTCAAAACATGTTCACCTGCATCTTGTCACTGTAGCCTCACAAAACACTCTTTATTTTGGAGGACAATTGTTATTCTTTTTGCATTATAGTTGAAGAAACAGATTGAGAAACATTAAGATTAAGCAGTTAGAAGCTCTGCCCCTCTTACCATTCTGCCAAAAAAGTCCTAATTTCTGACACCTTTGAGAAAAGAAGAAAATATTCACTTCATAAATAGAGTATCAGATATAATGTTTTATTCTTGTTTGTAGTTTACTTGCAAGATATTTTTATCTCTTCAGTTTTAAACAAGCCATTCCCATGGTCATGAACGTATGCTTCTCATATGCATTAAACAAACTTTTAATTTCATCAATAAGCATGAAAAGCCTTAAAAATATGTGTATCTATGGCCAGAAATTGTGCTTTTTGGAATGTAAGCCTAGAAAAAGGAATGTTAATGAATTTTGTTTTACAGTGCTACTTAGAAAAGGAAAGAGTCACATCAATTTGAACACCCCTCTAAAAGAGAGCATTACCTAAATTAGTAAACAGTTGTAATATTTTGCAACAATTTAAAAATTGTATTTTGAAATTGAGTAAATGGTATGAGAAATATTCCATAACAAATGTTAAGTAAAAACAGTAAATACCAAATTGTATATATAGTATTATTCCAATTCTGTAATAATAATGAATTTCATATAAAATTATATTATATAGAAACAATTCCAGAAAGAGGATATACACCACTTGATAATAGTGGCTGTCTCTAAGCAGTGAGATTATGAGTGATTACATTTTTTTGCATGTTATCAATAGTGAACATATTTAACATAATAAGAAAAAAGTTTTCCTTTTTTCTTTTTATAATTATACATAATAGTGAGATTCATTATTACATATTTGTATGTGTACACAATAGAAAAATGTAAGTTGGTTAGTTTCATTCCCCAGCACCTCCCCATTTTCTCCCCTCCTCCCTTCCCTTGCTCCTCTTGCTCTACTCTACTGGTCTCTCTTCTGTTTTCATGAGGTTCCTCTCTTCCCCAACCTTTTTTCTCTCTGGCTTCCACATATGAGAGAAAACATACCATCCTTGACTTTCTGAGTTTGGATTATTTCACTTAACATAATGTTTTTAAGTTCCATCTATTTTCCTGCAAATGATAAATTTTATTCTTCTTTATGGCTGAATAAAACTCCACTCTGTATATAAACTACATTTTCTTTATTCATTCATCTAATGATGGACACCAAGGCAGGTTCCATAGTTTGACTATTGTGAGTTGTGCAGCTATAAACATGGATATACCTGTATTTCTATAGTATGCTGACTTTTGCTCTTTAGAATAAATACCAAGGAGTAGTATAGCTGTGTCATATGTTGCTTACTACAATAAGGGAAAAAAATAAATATGTTTCTCAGCATATATTGTTCCCTAAGACTGACTCAATTAAAGACTTTTTATCATCTAAATGAATTTTATTGATTTATGTTAAAAAATGGACAGCAGAGGGCATAAGAGAGTTTTCAGAAAAAATATAAACAAAAGAAAAGATTATTTCTGTTTAAGTGAAGGAAGTCATAAGAAACTTTCTGAATTATAAACTACTTTAAAGAAATCTATCTTATGATTTTCTATTATTCTAATAAAATATCAATACTCAAAAACCTGAAGTAATGGTACTGAGAAGCATTTAATGAATATATAATAGACCCTTTTGAAATCTGTATGTGAAACTATAAATAGAGACACTCTTATTTCTTCCTTTATAATCTGTATGGCTTGTATTTCAATTCTAGTGCTATCACACTGGCTAAGACTGCCACTACAATACTGAACTGTAACAGTGAAAGTAGAAATCATGGTCTCCTTTGCAATCATATGGGGGAGACATTTGGTATTTCAACAACTGTGTCCTGTAGACTTAATAGATGTCCTTTATCAGGTTAGGGAAGTTTCAGTCCCTAATTTTCTCAGACTTTCTACCATGAATGAACATTTTGCATTTTGTCAAATGCTTTTTCTGCTTCTATTAAAATGGTCCTATAGTTTTTCTTTTTAAAATTATTGATATTGTGTATTAAATGATTGATTTTTCAAATATTGAACCAATTTTTGTTTGTTGCATTAATTTTATTTGGTCATCTTATATTCTCCTTTCTATAAAAATTGCTATATTCAACTTGTTAAATTTTTGTGAGAATTTTTTATTTGGTATTCCTGAGATATTGATTAGAAAATTTTTAATGACTTTTTCTGATTGGGTATCAGTGTAAAATTATGAGTTTTATTTATTCAGCTTTCTTTACCTGAAGTTTTCAATTTGTAAATCTTCAGTTTTTCCTCACTTCTTCCAGTCTTTACTTTTGGATGTATATTAGAATTGTTCCTTCTATCATTCATGTGCCTTACTGTGTTCAAATGACACGTGCTTTTTCATTTTCTGGATGATGTCCTCAAATCTATATTCTAATTCACTAATTCTTTCCTAATCTTTGCTAATCCAGTGTTTAATACCTGCACTGAATTATCATCCCATTGGCTATATTTCATTTTTAGAAAATTTACTTTTTTTAAACAAATCTACTTTCTCTTACTTTAAACTGACCTATTTATATATTGTAGTTTCTTTATCTCACCTTTCCTCTTTAACTATTTTAAACTTATTTAAAATTTTTCTGTTATATCTGTTTCAGGGTCACTATTTCTCTTTTGTTGCATAAGCAAACTCCTTATGGTGGCTTATTTTCTATAGTGGCTTGTATGTTTTTATTCTTAGCTCCACTTGAGTGGGAATTCTCTTTGTGAAAATCCTTTAAATTCCAGATTATGATAGCATTCCTCCAGAACAACTTTGAATTTCCTTTGTTTAGATCCTTACCAACTTTAGTGGTCATGGGGCCAGGTTTTCAATTTTAATTTATTTTGTTTTTGCTTCATATCTTTTATGTAAAGCAATTCATTCATGTAGAACAATGCATATAAAATATGAATAAGGAATAGCAAAAAGAATATCTCTGGCCCAAACACCCACAGAATTAAGACTTGACCAATGAGTTTCTTTTTTCCTTATTTTTTTTTTCTTCCTTTAACTGCTGGCTTTTACTTCAACATGGGCTGAACTGAAAACTCTGTAGAAGGGGCTTCTACAACACAGAGTGGGGAAATTCCTGTTTGTTTTGTTCTGTTGGCTCTGCTCCAAGCATATTTGTACTGCTGCTGACAGGCCATGAGTATATTTATCAATAGGAAAACACTGACTCTTTAAATAGAGGATCTGGGAAAGAGTGCGAATGGGGAGGGGATGCTCATGTCCTTCTCTTTTTTTTTTTTTTTTGTTTGTTTGTTTGCTACTTTATCTCATGGGCAGCCCCAATTCTGTGGAACTGAATGACAGCATCAGGCAAAATTGTAAGAAATCCCAGTCTTTCTGGCCCTAATAAAGAGGATTCATGAAAATGAAAGTGTAGGGGAACACAGGAGGGAGCTGGAGAAGGTAAGGCTTGATTCTATGTTTGACACTTTACAAGCAACAAGTGT